TGTAATTTTTGGCAGACTTTTTTGACGAAATTGGCCATAATTTATCAGCCGTATTACCTATTTCGATGTGCACACTTTACGCTTAATTCAACGTAACGATTATAAATTATTCGTTCTCGTTCTCTGTGCACCGTTTTTATTTCCTCTTTTCTTAGAATCTCCATAATCTCATCGTTAAACACTAGGGCTAGATTAGTTTTTAAAATGCTGCACGTCCCTAATTTCACTAGGGCACCTTTTCCATGTTTTACTCTTATTTTATACCATGAAGCACAAACAAGGATTACAGAGAGAGTCTCGTCTTTCTTCGATTTCCAATTTTATATTAAATATATAATATATAATCTAATACTGCTGGACTACTGAGTGGACGAGTCGGGATCGAATCTCATTGGTTTCTGTCTGAAGCGGTATGTGCGGATCTGAAATTTAATTAGCCTCCTTTTCAATTGGCACTTGGAGGATGATCTTCGAAGAGAGAATAAAGTCGGCATCGGCATAGAATCTGATCATCCTTCCGTAGTCGGGCCCTACACTCTCTCGGATGCGCTGTTATTTCGTGCCTTAAAATCAATTGTGCTTAAATACAAGCAATTGCATCAATTAATAGATGAATTATAGTTTTTAATTCTGTTCAATGACTGCCAGAGTTCCCACTCTATTTCTTCGATGATTCCGAGGATCAAGTTCTTAGCTCATTGGCTTAAGGAAACTTTGACTGCTTTCTGATTAAAATAGTTTACAATTTTTATTCGGTAGTATTTATTGTAATCACAGATATCGTCATCAGAATTAATAATTGCATGTAAGTTAAGGATGATCGTAACCTCTTTGATCATACAGGTAATCTCCAGTAGTTGCTTTAAAAATTTAATTATTTTTCTATGGGAAAATCTCTATACAAAGATTCTCGAAAACTGGAGTACAGAGAACTAGTCTTATAAGTCAGAATTCTATTTAATTCTTCTATTGGCGTACAGTTCAGAAATTTAAAAATCGAATTCGTTAATTTTCTACGATTTTAATAGACGAAAGATTAAACGTTACTAATTGGCTCGTTAAAATATTTCAATTTTCTTGTTAAAATATAAAAATGTGAGATCCAAATTACACTTGAAGTTTCTTCCATGTTTGACTTTCTCCGCCCTGTGGCCATTAAGAATTTTTTCCTTATAGTTAGACCATTTGTTAAAAATAATATATAAATGGAGAAACGGGTTATTTTATTTGCAACGACAAAAATGAATGTTGACAATTTTCTTAGTTTATAAAAAAAAATTTAAGGACATATTAAATCACAAATATTGACCGTAAAAATATTTTAATGAAAACAAAATTTACAAATTTTAAAATATTTTTTAAACATTTATATTAGCCTACTCTTCGAATAGTATACCGTTGTTGCTTATCATAATAGATTTTCTACAAAAATAAAAAAAGCCTTTAAAGCGAATTCAAATCTAATCATTTTTATCACGTTCCTCCTCTATTAGTATTAACACACGATTCAAAAAATACTCGTAAATCATCTTTTAGTGTTATTAATGTAATAAGCAGTGCTATTAAGTTAGGTCCTCTCCGTGAATCGGGTAGAACAATTGAAAATAATGATCGGCCGTTCATTCTCTTCTATCGGATGTTCACTTTATAAATACAATACTTAATTTGATAAACATAAATTGAATTAAAAACGTGGTATCGTGCAAGATTTGCATTTTTTTCTTATTCTATGGTAAAAAGGGTTAGGATTTTTTTTTCTTTATAAAAGATTTAGGAATTAAATTTTATATACAAAGTTTTTTCATTTACATAGTGAAATTATACCTTTCTTGTATAATGAAATATTTTAAACGTTTCTACGTTTTTTATTCTTAATAATAAAGCAGATGTATTGTTTATTATTCTGACGTTTATCTTAAAAATCAAAATCGAATGTCTAGAAAAGTTAATTAATGCAAATATGCCAGCATTTCTAATTTATGTAAAAATAGCAAATGAATTTTCATTTATCGAGTTTCAAGCAGAAAGGATATTATTTATACGATATACTATAATTGCATTTATCAATAATTAAATTGTTATAAATTTAAAAAATTAATAATAAAATTGGGCTCTTGAATTCCTTATAAGACAATATAATTTTTATTTATTTGCGAGAATACTTAATCTCGAAACAGCATTTTACTTTTAGTTGAAATTCTGCAATTCGTTTCATCTTACGATAAAAGAATTCGTTTTGAGATAAGTTATGAAGCAAAATGTCAGATGCACTAGAAACATTGCCGAGAAACAAATCAATCTCACCTTTTGATTTAATTATAAAGTTTGGCATAAAAACTGTAAATAATATGTTAAGTAATTATAAAACCACTAAAGAATCTGCAGTACCTGAAAAATCCTTTAATGCTGGTTTAGTTATAGTGCAAGATGTGAAAACCCAAGATGTGAATATTGCAACACTAACGGGTCGCAACATTTCTCACATGACATTTATTTTTCAATTTAGGCTTCAATTTGAAAAGCTTTTAAATAACTATTGTAAATAAACATATACAAATTAGTTCACGTATTATTTTTCTAAGATCAAAATGCTCAGAGGAACGAATTGAGTGAAAAGGAAGTGCGAGAAACGTTTTCCTATCGTGATGATGATGATATTTTCTCTGAGAGGAAAATAGGAGGAAAGGTAGGAAGAACAAATGGAGCGGTACACAGTGTTAGTAAAAGGCAGTAATTATGGAAAAACACAACGAATTGGCCGGAAAAAGGTTTTAATACCACGTGATTCTCGGCGCATTTGTCGACTGGCAACTGGAAATAATTTGTCAACAAGGCAAAAAGCTATTGAAATCGGCGACAAAGTTTCCCACGTCACTGTCTGGAAAGAAGTATATCTGAATAGAAACGTGAAACACATGAAATTTAAAGAAACTAGCTGCGAGATTGCCTTAAATAAACCAGGTTACATTGGGCTCAAGAATTAGAAATCATGTCCTAGATATTTAAATGGGAAATTGTAGTGTTCTCTGAAGTGAAGAAGTTTAACTTGGATAGGTCAGACAATAAGTGTTACTGGATGAACTAAGGAAGAAACTCAAATCTTTAGACGTCAAATAGGGTGGTCGGTTGTGGTGTGGGATGCATTCTCTGCTGCTGTAAAATCCGATTTTGTAGGAGTTTATGGCAGGATGAATTCTTCAGAATATCATCGGTTATTGTAACCATTTAATTCTGTTTGGACCACTTATGGGGAGGCGACAATTAGATTTCCAGCAGACAACGCTCCTTTGTCATGCTCCGAGAGCTATGAAAACATGAAAAAGTTTGTTCTGTCCCGGCTTAAGTCGCCTCTCCTGGAACAAATTACCGACGTAAGGCGAGGTATACCTGTAACAATGAAGTTTCCATCGGTTATTAATGTGTTAGTATTATCACAGATAAAAATAAAAGCCTATTGTGGTTTTATAATTTCTTAACATGCCTTATAAATGAATCAATTCGTGCTACTTCGGTCAATTTAAAACGATTCTCATGGTTTCGGGTTTGTTTACCAATGAAAATATCTTACGATTTTCTAAAGCAGTTTCGTCATTCAGATTTTAAGTGAATTTATGTAAATCGCTCAAACCGACCAAACGCTTTTCTTCCCATATATTTCCCTCAATCTCAATATATTAAACAGCTGGAAAAAGCCCACTCTATCGTTCGACTCGCGCGTAAATTTTCTTACTCGTACAAACCGCAGAAATGGCATTGCTCTTATATTATTCTTGGAGAGGAAAACAATTCCGTCGGAGCAAATGCAACGAGAGAATAGAATGGGAGAAAAATCTTTACTCGGGAAACTTCATATCTACCTTTTATATAGAGAGATAAATTAAACAAATTCTTTTTTCCGTACAACATCAGGTTATTAGCTTGTTTACTAATTAAATGTTTATCTTAAATACGATGCTCTTTTCATTGCGTATTCAAGCTATAACTGAAATCTATGATAACCTGAAGTAAATTTCCCAAAAGGTTAAATAAGCCGAAACCTTTTTAAATACAAAATAATTTTTCTTAAAATTCTCATGTATATAAATGTAGTTTTTAAACTAAAATTATATTTATTGCCTTTAAATCTTAATTTAACAAAAAAAAAAATACTTAATGTTACCAAAGACGTGAAGAAAAAATGTAGTCTAGAGATGGCTAAATGTTAAATTCACAACTGGGAATAATGCTCCTCCCACTTCTTTAACATTTGATAATCAATGATTTTCTGGCTAGTCCTAAATTCTTCATCCAATTCGTACGGATAGATTATTCTTTCCGTTATTGACAATCGCGCATAAAAAGAAATACCGGGATATAACTTATACGTTAGAAACGACACAATCGTCACTTTTGACAATCGTTTTCGATTACATTCCGCTTCCGGAAAGACCCGAAAGTCACACGGTGCCAATTATTGTTCGTTCAAATAATTTTCAATCCTTTTTCTATTTTTCCTTAGCACTCGCTATCTCCCTCCGCTAAAATACTTCCGTTTGAGCCGGTCAGCACTTGCGAGCAAGAACCTCTGATCACGACCTTCCAGGAAGTCTACTTCTACACCGACAGCTTCGAAGAGGCCAAAGAAAAAATGAGGCGAGTATATTATTTGCCCTTCTCGCGCATTCCCGAGCCCTGTAAATAACTCGGATTCTTTACAGAGAATTTGCCTGCACCATCAAGCGGCCCTTCGGCATCCGATACAACCCTTACACGCAGACGGTGGAGATTCTCAGCAACACTAGTAAAATCGCTAATCTCGTCAGCGAGCTGAAGGGCGATCTCTGCATCGTAAGTACCGCCCTGAGGAAGATTAGAGAGAAGCGTTAAGACGACACAGTCTTTCGGGCATTTAGAGCATCCTTCCCTCTCCCTCTCCCTCTTTGTCTCGTAGAATAAAGTTTACCTGCAAACTCGTTTTCTTTTTATGGTTCCTTCACAATGTACAATTCATAAACAAGAAAATAAAGTGTCCGGTCGTTTATTTATTATTTTTTTTCTGTTCATATACAATCGGGAAGACCGGATGTAGACAGAGCCACTCGGCACCATTCGAAATTTTCGTCCGGAGAATTTCTCCGGAGAAAAAGGGAAAAAACGAGAACGTCTGGAGGGAAGAACGTCGCAGTACGGATTCGTCTTTCCAGAAGACGATAGCCGTCACTCTCGAAGTCTTTTTTTGTCTTTTGGCAAGGAAGATTTAATCTCTAAGTTCTAAAAAAATAGAATAGATCCGAGAGGCAAGCAACAGAAAATATGTACACGGGGAGCTACAATGGCGTCTACTGACAAGAAAGAAGATAAGGCACGTCCGGTTCTTTTAAGGCAACAGGCAGGAGAGTAGCCACAAGTGGACGGCCACCAGGTATACGCACAACAGGATTTTGACCGTCGGCGTTCTCCTCAACGTCCGATACCACCGATTCCTGTCAAAAACGGAAAAACGGCATCTGAAACTGTCGAAAGCCAAAACTCCGGTAGAGAAATTCTTACCTGTTTCTTCGAATCCACAGACGCAATCGATGGGCTCGAGACGCCACCGTCCGGACTGAAAATAGGGAAAGGTTAACGAAACGAAGAGAAAGATTATCGGGTGCTCGATACTTACCGATGGAATAATCTGTAGCCGGAACTACTTCGGATTCGTCTTCTATAGGTAGACGACACTGCAAACATACGAGATATTACAGAAATGGAATGTTAATCTTTACGAAATTTCATTCTGTTTGTCGAATTCAACTCGGTCTTCCATTCGGCTGAAAGTGGAATTCGTCCGGATTCCACGGTAAGTGTGGAAACTGATCGAAGACCCAAGTAAGACTTACCTCGCGACCGGGAGGAAAGGAGACGCGCAAGGCAGTCTCTTCTCCCACCATCTCCAGATCGCGTTCCAATCTCTTCCTCCAGGATCTCTCCGTTTCCAGTTGTTGTTCCAGCTTTTCTCCCGCTCGACACGCCTCTTCTCGTTCTCCTTCTGCCCTTTCCAACCTACAACGACAAAAGTCACGTCGTTACCTGTTACCTTTTTATAAACTATTTCTAACTAAATGTATCGACAATTTGGAATTTCCTATTCGGTAACTATCTGCATTCCTTCCATCTATCCATCTAAACAGTTTTTTCTTTTTTGTCTGTAGTGGGTTCGATATTTTTGGTGAGTCGGCGGCACGCTGATAAAAATAACCATCGTTTTACTTTCTTTTTCTTATAGTTACATTTACTTAAGACTACTAATAAACGAGAAAGTTTTATTCGAGTATACAAAACAGCAGAGAGCAACATCTTTTGGTATTCGTATTACTAATTTAAATCGGTGGTAACATTGGAAGAAGTTATCTAGAAAGAATAAATCACGTATTAATTTTACACGTCCCTATTTACTGCATATACGAAACAACAAGACTTGCAAAATAATAATAATAAAAAAAGATTATATTTAACCTCTTTGCAAACCGAGAGAGATGTCCTCTTCATTCCTCGAGACGTTGATCCACAAAAATTAACATTTTTAAGCCAACGGAGCGAATTTTAATGTGGTAAAGTCAAAATTATATCTAATATTATATTATAACTGCCTATACATATGAACATAATCTATAGTTAATTCTTAGCTTTATTTCCTCTTCATATAAAGTCAATTTAATCTAATTGTTTCGTATCAAAAATACACGAATAACTTTTTATTTTAATAAAAGCTAGCTTCAATCGTTCCTATTTTTTGCATGTAATCCCTCTAACCAGGAATTTCAACTAGGAACTCGCTCTAGGATATCGATTAACAACGATTTACAAACATGGACATGTCAACGTCGTCGAAGTGCGTTACGTCAGATTATAAACCGCATTCGGGTTAAACCGAATTAAATTAATTGTAGTTGGCTTTCTGAGTAAGTTATTTCACAAGTGAAAATATTTTAAAACATATGAATTTTCTATAATTACCTTTCTTGCAGTTTCTTTAACTCCATCTGCAAATCTGAAGTCGTATCCTAATGAAAATAAAAGTGATAAGTGAATAAAAATCTTTAATGATTACAGCAAAACATGTCTAAAACGAAACGCGACGGTATCATCCAGGAATTTTTCATTTTATACGGGGTTAAGTTTTCATTAATGCAGAAAAAAGAAAAGTGAAAAAATCTCTCGTATTTAAGTTGTTTCGCCTTCAATGTGTTTTATTTTTTAAAGACAAGTTAAAAACATCGAAATGCGCAGGCCTAGCCTATATGGTGCACAGAAGAAAACTAAAATACCCACGGAATGTCTTCTAATTGCATTTAAATCATTAACAATCGTCAAATTAGACTAAGAGAGAACTTCTCGATTTTTATTTAAATATTACTCTTATATTTTCTGTAAGAATAATTACTATCGTTCTTCATACAATATTGAAGTTTAGTTCTAAGAATTTGGCGAAAAAGTTACGAAACCGATTTTGTTTTTAATAACTACATTTTTACATTTTTTGAGAGTGAAACTTCCCCCCGCCATGAATAGCGCGTATTTTTTAAAATACTCTAAGAATCGAGTTAACTATAGAACAGTGTTTCCAAAACTGCAGGTTGCTGGCCAAGTTCGCACATGCCTCGTTAAGAGAAAGAAATCTTTTTTTTTTTTTTTTTTTTTTTTTGTAAAAATTACATTCAATAATAAATATTAAAATCAGCAGTAATAAAATAATTAAACCGAATTAGGAGAGAAATGGCAAACCGATTCTTCTCACGATAGGTCGAAAATGAACCAAGCTCGCAAAAGACATGCATTAATTGATTTAGAATTTGGTTACAGTTAACTTGAGTAAAAAGGAATTGTTTTGGTTTATATTGTGTAATTGGTTCGCAAAATCCTCCATTTCCGCATTAGACAGGTTTTGGAGATATTTACAATACTATTTTACATAGCAAATCGCTCCGTTCTGGTTTATTTTCTGTTTAGACAGATTGTATTTCCCGTTTTAGACAGATTTACTGCATAAAGTTCACATATTCCGACGATTTTCAGGAAGTCGATTTACCAGAACAGTAATCATTTTTGTAAATTTTAAAGTAACTAAATCGGAAAAAGAAATGATTAAACGACGAAGAGTACTTAAAAATGGTACTATATTCAGAATCCTTGAAAAAATCAAATTATTTGCAATATAAAGTATACTGTATATTAATAAATAAAATAAATTCTACAAAATTAATCGATTGTATACATTTTAAAAAATCGCGATGCTACAAAGGTAATTACAATTGAATCTGAATTAGATAAATGTTTCGTTATTTGCAATTATTTGCGGCCATAAATTAAGTCGTGATATCTCATACCAAAAACTTATATTAGATTTAATTTTTTCGAAATCTTCATGGTAAAAGTTCTCTCTAAAAAGCGAAAGTGACAAATGCTTGCGATTATCGATCCTCGGAGTTATTTTTATTAAAAATGGTAAAATAATTTCAATGAAAATGTTCTCTGCATCACTAACAGAAACGTGGTAGGTGCGAACTAAAGATTAGGTGATAAAAGAAACGAATGCAGTAGAAAAATCATTACCACAAATCAGTCAAAGTTTGGCATTTTTCATGTATAAAACCCGCGAAACATAAGTTTGAAAATATTTTATATGTAATAAATTGGCATAATTTCTATTGGAACTATTATTCTACATAAATATATAACAAAATTTCAAAAATTAATGTAGTTGTATCCTAAATCTCCAAATGTTTTTTAAACTTATTGCTTTAGAATTTCGACAGTCTTTCTAAATCAGAAGAAATAGGAGGAAGAAAAGGGATTAGATATTAAAAAATTGAGTTATTCTAAAAACTATATATTAGATCTATACTTTTATAATAATACTTTATTAACAAAAAATTAGCAAAATGGTCACTTACAGAGTATTCTAACATTAATATATACCATATAAATATTGAAATACAAAACATGGAACAAAATGAAAATAATTAATACCAACACAAAAACTATAATATAAAATATCATTTTTTCAGAAAATCTTTATCAGTAATTTGTATATAAAATACTTTCATAAATTAACATATGTGATTTGTGTGTTAACAATGATATACAGTGGTACCTCAGGATACGAACGCCCCAGCATACGAAATTTTCAGGATACGACACGAAATTCGAACATATTTTTGCTCCACGATACGAACAAAAACTCACCATACGACGTTACATTAGTTCGCAGCGCCATTTTTTATTCACTTCTGTTCTTCGATCTCAGTCCGCTTGTTTGCTTCGTCGTGGAAGGATCTCTCTCGCTAAAGGAAATCATGATGTATTATCAGAAAGTGACTGATTTTATTGAAAAGGAACATCCCGAAAAGGTTTACACTGGCCGTATTGCTGCTCGGAGTAATGACATTTGCCTAACTCATTTTAGAAACATTTTAAAAAGTAGGCAAAGCCAAACGTCTTTGAATAGGTATTTTACCAAGTGACCTTTATCCAGTGAAAGTGCTGGTGGAAGTGAAGGAAAGAAAGCAAAATGCAGTGAATAANTGTGGCACCATCTGTTATGATATTTTATTTAAAAACTTTTTATATTATTAATTATTATAAAATTGAAAAAGTTTAATTTGAAAGTACGATAAGTTTCATAAAAAATTGTAAATGCTAATAATGAGTAAAATCTTCATTAAGTCTGTCCCCACTTCAGGCATGACACATGTATCCCCCTCTACCTCCCTGACATCTCAACCTTTAACCATCAAAATTTAATAGCATCAATTTTCCTAATATCCAAACTGCCCTGCAAAATTTCAGAAATTTTCAACAAAAGGCACAAAAGTTATTAAGCTCAAAAGTGGGTAAACAAAATTGTTTCCCCTACACAAACATCCATACATACTGAAAAAAAATCTCTAATTTTTTGCATTTCTTGACATTTCAAAGTCCCGAGTCCAAAAATGCAAAACTCTTAATGGGGAGTCATTTTTTGACCAATTACCATACTTTCCTTCTGTTATATATAACAGCCAGGAAAGTAAAATGATTAAAAGATATTCAAAGTAAATCAAATTTGACAAATTTATTTGCAAACATTTTTGAATTGTAAAACTTGATAACTTTTACTGTTAATAATGCTTATTCTGAATAAGTTTCAGTGGTTAATTTTTATTTATAATAATTGTTTTGTGACTCTTGTTTTTAATAATTAATGATGCTGGTAAATATATAATTAAATACCTGAACAACTAAAAATAGTTAATTAATATATTTTAAACAAACCTTTCCAAGCATCTTCTTTGTTTCATCCAAAGTATCTTTCATATCTTTATTTTCATTTTCTAATAAAATAATTTTCTGTTCATATTCTTTTCTCACATTACTAATTTCAATTTCATAATTTTGGTCTCTACTTTCATTTTCATTACTTTCTATACATATATACATAAAAATATTAATTTGTAAACAGACACTAATATTATTGATGTAATACTAGTAATTATTAAATTAAATTATTTGCTTAACTGTTTCAGTATTTTTAAAAAATAACAATGGTCAAATGAATAAATAGTTTATCTACTGGTTAAATAGAAATCTACTATAAATGAATTTTAAACAATGAAATTAAAACTTAATTGCATTGAAATGGAGTAATTATAAAATTTAAGAAAAGTGAGTCTTCATTCAATGTTAAAGTACTGAATTAATTTATAAAAGTGCAACAGTTGAGATAAATTAAAACTTATAATTTGTATACTTCTTTATATTTTATAAAGGTTTTTAAGTTAAAAAAGTATGTTCATTACTAATGAATCAATAATGAAAATTATATCGAATGCAGTGCAAGTTTCATCAATTTACAATTTATATAATTAATTATTGATTTTTAACCGAATCATAAATAGGATATAAATCCAAATATAGTAGAACCCAATTATCTGAGGTTCCAAATTATCCAAGGCAAATTTATAAGTGAATATGTACTGTACAGTTTGATCTTAGCAAGCAAAACTAACCCCTTTACTACATAGTATATGAGAGGGTCAGATATGTTAGTAGTAATAAAAAAACAATGAAAAAAGGTCAATGGATTATTTAATAAATATATGTACAACAAATGGTTATTAAAAAAAACACAGGGCTAGTAATAAATTCAATAATGGTGTTAATCAAAAATTCAGAGGTAAGTCAAAAACTGTAAAATACCAATAATAATAATAATAACTCTCCCGTGGTCACCACCTGGTCGTGGTGGGAGAGCCCAGTAGTTTTACAGATCCATAGGGCAATGCAGGCTGGAGCACAAGCTCCTGGTAGGGACACCCATGCCAGTAAGGTCTATGGGGAGAAATGAAGCAAGAGTGAACCANCTTGATGTATTATCAGAAAGTGACTGATTTTATTGAAAAGGAACATCCCGAAAAGGTTTACACTGGCCGTATTGCTGCTCGGAGTAATGACATTTGCCTAACTCATTTTAGAAACATTTTAAAAAGTAGGCAAAGCCAAACGTCTTTGAATAGGTATTTTACCAAGTGACCTTTATCCAGTGAAAGTGCTGGTGGAAGTGAAGGAAAGAAAGCAAAATGAAGTGAATAAAAATTAAAAAAATATATAAAACAACGCTAATTTTTTAAATCTTTTCTAAGTTATTTTTAAGTTATTGTTATATTATGTTATGTAAGTTAAGTTTTAGTATCATTTCCCTTCTCCCTCTCTTCCGCCACCAGTTTACACCTCCACCGTGGTCTATCCTCAAAGGTAAAATGCGAATAAAACTACATTTTTTTTAAATCAATTATTATTCTATTACGGTTATTTATACATTTACAACTACAAAATGCATTTTTCAGTGTTTTCCTTACTATAGTTATTATTTCTTTAATGTATTACTTAGCTTTAATTTGAGTGTGTTTTTCGTATTGGAACGAATTATTTGGTTTTACATGTAATCGTATGGGAAAAAATGATTCACCTTACGACATTTTCATGATACGATCTCAGTGTCGGAACGGATTAATTTCGTATCCTGAGGTACCACTGTAAACGAAATTTTTATTTTATTTTATGAAGTTTACTACTATCTTTACAAGGTGGATTGTTTTACTTGTAAGAATTGCTTTATCGGAATAACATTTGTGCATTCCAGAATAGTCTTAAAATATTCACTAATTATTATTGGAATTATTATTATTAACTATTATCATACCTGCGAGGAATACACATTATCTAGCATCTCCATCTGTAAAGTATTTTGTTGACGTATCTGTTCTGTTGGACGAACGTTTCGTAGATAATGTGAAAGTTGATGCTGTAGCGTATTTCGTTCTTCTATTAACTGAATGAAAGAGTTTTTTAAAAATAAACCAAGTGATAGTTTCCAAAATTTATATCTTTAATATACAACAAAAGAAGCCAAATAATTTACCTTATTGATCTCCTGGCTAAGACTTTCGTTTCTTAAACTTTGTCTATGCAAACAATACATTGCTTGTTCCAATTCCTTGTTGAGTTTATCTGTATTTTTGATACAGCATTCATTTGGCATGTCACCGTTTGCCGGATTACTATTATTTGCTCTCGACTTTTCCAATTCCTCTTGTAAGGACTTGATGCTGTAACGGAGAGAATCCTCTTTCTGTAGAAATAAGCTTACTTCATCATTCCACTGTTTTTGTCTTTCCTCAAACTCACGAGATAAGAGTTTGTTTTGTTCAACTGCTTCGTTTAATTGCCGATTGAGAATTCCGATGACGTTACCTGTTTCTTGACACTTTAAACTATATTCTGTTTCCCTGCGTGTTAATTTTTCCTTTAAATCGTTCAGTTTAGTGTGAAATTCACATCTGTCATTTTTGAGCGACGTTAACTCAATCTCTAACAATTCTTTATCTTTCTGTAGAACTTTGTTCTGTTCTCTTAATCTTTCTTCTTCCAATGTACTTCTGGTAGATTCTCCGTCCGAATCCCAAGCTGCAAAGGCCTTCAGAGAACTCACTTCGTTTCTGAGATCAATCAATTCTTTCTTTAATCGAGAGTTCTCCTCCTCTACTTTGCTTTGATCCGGACGTTCGTCGTTTTCATTTGTTTCCATTTCTTCCATTTGTTTCTTCAAAGTACAAATAGTCATTTCGCTCTGTTGTAACATTTCTTTTAACTTGACGATTTCTTGCGAGTTGGCGTTTTGCATTATTTTGACTTCTCTAATGTGATGCTCTTTTAACCTTTGAACTTCCGACTCCAAACTTGTTTTTGTTTTCTGTAGGTTTTCTACCATCCCTTGAAATATTTCGTTGTCGGAAACTAACATTTCCATTTGTTGTTTCGCATCCAGGAATTCGTGTTGCAAGCATTCTCTTTCATAAATTAATTGATTGTACTGTCTGACGTAATTATTAGCTTTTTCCTCCAGTAAAGACTGATTTTCGTCCATCTCTTTTAATCTTTTCGCCAGATGCTCGAATTCCTTATTTCTTTTATTTAAAGAAACTTGAATGCTTTCTGTAATTTCTTTATTTTCCGTAAGAGATTTTTCTAACTGGCGGCATTTCTCCATTATTTCTGAATTACGTTCTTTTAATTCTATGATTAAATTTTCTTTGGTCGAAATTTCTTGTCGATGAAGATTTTCATTTTCTTCTATACATTGTTGTAAATTACTTATCATTTCTGTTTTATTGGTCACCATTTTTTCCCAATTTTCCTTTTCTTTTTCTACAAATGTTAGTTTCTCATTAAAAATTTGAATCTCTTCTTGTAACTGATCATTTTTTTCTTTAAAAGCTTTAAGTTTTGCAAACATTTTCTCCAATTTTATCTTCTGCACGTCGAGATTAGTTTTCATTGTTTCGTTTTCTTTAATTAATTTCTGTCGATTTGGATCTGCTTCGCTTCTCTGATAAGTTTCTTTCTCGATTAGAGGTATATTACTAATTTTCACTTCCTCTACCTCTTTTGTTTTTATCTCAAAATTTTCTTTTTTATAATTTTCAAAGAGATTTCCGAGGATTGAATATTCATTTTTCAATCTTTCTAACTCCAAATCTTTATTTTCAATTTCCTCTTCCAATTTTTTCATTTTATTTTCTAAATCAAATCTTTGCTTATCTGATTCTCTTAACTGATCTTGAATCTCCGATAAGTTTTTATTAGTTTCTTTTTCGGAATCGAGTTTAATTCGTAAATCTTCCAGTTGTGTTTCTCGAGTTTTAATTTCTTTTTCCATTAAGAGAATTTTATCTTCACTTTCTTTAAGTTGACTTTTGAGATTTTCACATTCATCGTTATTTTGTAACTCTTCTATTCTTCTTTTCAGTTCTACATTTTCGGTCGCGTACTTTTCCATTTCCAGTTTTAGGGATTCAATAGCAGTTTTATCAGATTCTTTGTTAATCGCGTTTAACTGTTCAATTTCTTGTATTAGTGAATAATTTTTTGATTTCAGTTCCTCTATTTCTTTCATGATTGCAGAATTTTCCTGCACATGTTTTTGATTACAGAATTCCAAATTTTCTATTCTCCTCGAACTTTCGTTAACGCAGTTTGTCAAATAACTTCGTTCTTCTTCCAGTTTATAAAATTCTGCTCTGAGATTCCGAAGTTCACATTCCAAGGCATTGTTCAAATTTTGCAGTTCGTGTAAAGCATTTTGTTGTTCTTTTTCATCCAGCAAAGTTTGCACAGATTCGTTAAGACTGGAGTTTACTGACTGCAATTCTTTATATTGGACTTTCAAACTATCGGCTTCTAACTTGTAATTTAATGCCATTTCATCGTGTTTTTTAATTCCAGCTTGTAATTCTTCGCTATAGTTTTTAAGGTCTACATTTTCTTTTTCAAAGCTTTCTAGTTTTTTAATAAGTGATTTTATTTCTTCTTTCCCAACTAAATTCTCGCTTTTTAATTCTTCTATTTCCCGAGTTTGATTTGAAATTTCAGCTTCGACTTTTAACTGATAATTCTCAAATTTATTTTTAATTTCGTCCTTTTCTAATACTATCGATTCAATTTCCGATGCTTGATCTTCGACTATCTTTTGAAATTCCAAAAGTTGCGAAGAACAGCTCTTGTTCTTCTCTTCTAACACAGTCAACTTTTCTTTCAAGTCGTCGACCATTAATTCTTTTTCGTGTAAAATCGTTTGCAACTTATTAACTCGCAATTTTTCTTCTTCGTAACATTTATTTACGTCAATAATGTTTTGTTTTAAATTACTTATTTCTTCAACCAATTTCCCCACAGATTCAGCATCTGTTTCCAATAATTTAATTTTTGATTCTAGTTTCTGTACTTGATCATTTGATGCTTGTAAATCGGCTTTTAATGCGTGAATATTACGTTCGGAATTTTCATTTAATTCTAAAATTTGATCTTTGTATGCCTTAAGCTGATTTTTTAAATCGTCGCAATTTTCTTCTCTACTTTTCAAATATTTTTGATTTTCGCATAAAGATTCGTTTTTGTTTTCTAAGTCTTTAATTTTTTGAACAAGTTTCGAGTTTTCGTCATCTATGTTTTTCAATTGCTCCTGTATAACTTCGTATTCTGCTTGCTTACCTTTCAACATCAATTCAAGATCTGCAATTTTAACGTCTGTTTGATTCTTATACACTTCTAATTCTTTTCTACTTTGTTCCAAATCATTTTTCTGTTCTTCTAGTAATTTTTCACTTTGTTTTAAAGAATTTTCCAATTCGGATATGTTCTGTTTTGTTTCTTCCGATGAAGAGTCAGAACTAAGCAACTTTTCTTGTAAACTTTTTATTTCTAATTGATAAGAATCTTTCTCCTTTAAAGCAATTTCTGTATAATTTTGTAATTCATCTGATTTTTCTTTTAAATATTTGTTTAACTTATCGTTTTCGGATTTCAAATAAGTAATAATATTTTCATTTTCTGCCCCTGTAATTTCCATTGACTTTATTTTTGAATTCATTTCTTCTTCTAACTTCTGATGCTGTCCTACCAGATTGTGATACTCTGTTTCAAAAAACTGTAAACGCTCTACATCATTTTGTAGACACTGGGATGATTTTCGTAGGCCCTTTAACTGATCGTTTAATAACTCTATCTCTTCTTCTTTCTTATTGAATTGAATTTTGAGCTCATAGAGTTCTTCTTTACACGTATTCAAATCTGTAATCACAGCGTCTTTGTATTCAATTTCTAATTGAAGTTTTTCTATTTTTGTTTCGAGACTGTTGTTTAATTCTTCGAGTAATTTATTTTGTTCCACTGATTTCATAATTTTTTCTTCTGTCAACTGTTTTGAATTATCAAAATTATATTTTAGCTCTTCTAATTCTTGTTGTAATATATTTGTGCAAGAAACTGATTGTAGTAGTTGCGAAGACAAATTTTCAGATTTTTCAGTCATTTCTTTTAATAAATTAGAGAGTGCTTGATTTTCTCCTTCTAATGTAGTAAAAGATTCTCTGAGTTTTGCTTCGTTATTCTCAAGAACAGAAATTTGCTCCAATGATGACATATTATTCTTTTTATACAATTCTATCTCCTCTAATAAAGTGGTGTTTTCTGTTAATTTTTGTTGAAGTTGGTCTTGTAAATTGTTATTTTCTTCACTTATCTCTTTGTTAGCACTCTTCAAATTCTCAATCTCCGAATTTTTATCAGTAACTGTTTTTTTCAATGATGTTAATTCGAATTGATATTCTTTATTTAAATTATTTACTGTTGTTAATTCATTCTCTAATTTTCTATTTAATGTATAAGAGGTTTCTAATTTATTTTGTATGTCCTGTAATTCAGTAATAAACTTGTTTGAACTCTTTTGTTCAGTTTCCTCGATCACTAATTTTAAATTATTTTCTAAATTAAAATTTTTCTGCTGCATTACTTCAATTTTTTCAATCAGTTCTTTAAAATCATCATCTTTTGTTTCTAATTGTTTTATTAAATTTGACTTTTCTTCTTCTAAATACTGGAGAGATGTTTCAGTCATTTTTATTTTCTCCTCTGCTTCGTACAGTTTACTGCTTGTGTTATGAAATTCATTCTGCAAAACTTGAAGATTTTCTTTATTTCTCTGTAATTCATCAGTTTGTTGTTCATAAGCTGCTTTTAACTTGTTAAATTCAGAGATTTCATTTTCTTTCTGTATTAAAGTATCTTTCAATTTCTCGTAAAGCTGTTCTTTTTCATTTAAATTGAATTTTAATTCATCAATGACATTTTTATTTAAAGTTATTTCTTTCTCACACTCTAAATTCTTATCATTTAATATATGAAGTTGTTTTTCAAGTTCTTCGATTTTACTTATTGAATTATTTAATTCAGTAGCTTTTATCAATATTTCTTTTTCTACTTCTTCATTACACAAAATGGCTTCTGAATATCTCATGTTCATATCATTTAATTTGTCAGACAGTTCATTATTTTTATTTTCAAGATCTTTGTTTGTTTCAGTAAAACTATTATTTTCACTAACCAATTCTTCATTTGTTTGGTTTAATTTAATTAGTTCTTTCTCATATTTTGATATATTTTCATTATAAAATGCCATTTGAGTTTTCAGCTCTTGAATGTGTGATTCTGAATTTGAACAAATCTCTTTCAATGACTGATTTTCATGTTTTGTAACAGATAATTCCTCTTCTAAAATTTTGTTATTTGAATATAAATCTGTTAACTTCTGCTTTAAATTTTGCATATCACTGTTAAATTTGCTATTTTCTGTTATCAGTTTTGTGATGTTTTCTTCTATAGATAATTTATCATTATTATTTGGAAATAGATTATTTATATTAATCCATTTGTTTCTAAATGCTTCTATATCTTTATTTAAGCTGTTGATTAGAGTTTCATTCTCACCCAATTTAGTATCAAAATACAATTTCTGGTTTTCATTTTCTAAATTTTTGCATTTGAGTTCTTCCTGAAAATTTGCATTAAGGATTTCATACTGATTTAACTGATCTTTTAATCTTAAAATGTTATCTTCAGAAAATTCTAATTTTTTTAATAATTCTGACTTTTCATTATTTTCTCTCTGTACAACTTCACCCATATCTATTTTCATTTTATTTAATTCTGTTGTTAATTTAGCTGCTAAATCTTTAGCTTCTTCTAATTCTAAAATGGTATTTTCTTTTTCATGCAATCTTTTTTCAAAGTCTGCCATTAAATTGTCTTTTTCAGAGATCAAATGCTTTAAATGTTTATTTTCTGCACTGGTTTCTTCTAATGCCAAATTTAAATCATTTATTTGCTTTTGATGTAAATTCTCCTTTTCTTGTAATTCTTTCATTTGTAGAGAATGAAGTTCTGACTGATTGCTCTCTTTATCAATTAATGTTTTCATTTCATTTAATTTATTTACATTTTCTTCCCATTTTGATTGCAAATCTGATATATTTTTACAGGAATATTTTTGAATGAAAGACATTAACTGATTTTCTTTATCTTCAAATTCTATTAATTTCATTCTAGCAATTTCTTGTTGTTCAGTAAGAGATAAGTTAATTTCTTTAAACTTTTCCAATTCTACACATTTATTTTCTAATTCTGATATCTTTTCATCTATATTCTTATGCAAACAAGCATTTTCTAGAAGTAATTCATCATAGCATTTTTGAAATGTGGCTAAATTTTCTCTTAATTCCTCAATACCCACTTTTTCTGAACTTTGCAAAATTTTAATTTCTTCAAGTTCAGTAACAGCTTTATCTTTTTCAGCTTTAACAGATAATGCTACTTTTCTTTCCTCTTCTAATATATTTTTCCAATATTTATTCTCTTCAAGTAATTCTTCTTCATATTTTTCTTTCACTAACAAATAAAATGTTATGATTATCTATTATTATAACTAAATATAATATCATCATGAAACATTATTTTATTACATAATTAATACTGTAAATCAGATTAAAACTAACAACAATATTAAAAAAATTATACCATCTGATTTTTTTCAGCTTTCTTTCTCCATTTTTGCCAATTACTATCAAAATTTATAAATCTCAAATTAACAAAAAGTAAGAGATGATACCCCGTTTGTAAAAGTTTTCAAAAATAACACTTGTATGCACATATAACAGCTATTTATGAAATCTGTAAAGTTAAATAGAGAGACAAAATAAATAAGCAATTCATAAAATAAAATGTGCAAATAAGAGTAATCATCATCCAGTTACTCTTATGCAAAATTTAAGTTTCTCAATCATATCCTTTGAACTTTGAATCTTCTTTCCACTATTATAGTTAAGAAAAAGTGAGAGTTTGCTGAAAGGCACTATTTCTTTTTTTTTTTTGGTTATGTTTCTGAAGCTGTAGCACACTTCTTTAGTGCATTTAACTACATCATCTCTAATTATTACAAAAATTGCCAGGACATATTCACATTTAGAAAAAAATATATTTCTTTTTAGACTATACATACAAATAAGTCCAAACCCTTCAGTCCTTTCACACATTTGTAGAGGCAATTAACTTGTAGAGGCATTACTTGTCTGCCATTAAATGTAAAAAAGTTAAATCCTCTAGCGGTAGCAAACACAACCATAAAGTACAAGTAACCTCTAATAAAAGGTCGGTTCTGCTAAAGATTTGTTAATGCCTCTGTAAGCATGTGAAAGGACTGAAGGACTTATTTGTATGTATAGTTTAAAAAGAAATATATTTTGTTCTAAATACATCATCTCTATTAGATCTCAACCAAACTTTTGTTGATTATTGTGCAATAATAGGGATCCTTATGGTTTACCAGAAAGTTACGGATTTATACAATTCCACTAAAAGAGTTAAGCAAATACTTGCATCTTTTATATTGGGAGCCAGGTCAAAGATAATAGCTTGTCACATCACAGAACATCAGAAAGACATAAAGTGAGTCAAAAACACAACTAAATTGTCTACAGCAGTGGTCAGCAATCTTTCTCACCTCACAGACCACTAAAAGTCACAATTTTGAATCCCGCAGACCATTATCATAAATTTTTTTAAACGATACAAAATCTGTAAAATAATGATCATAAAAGTTCAATTTTACTATATTAATTAATATGAAACTCGCATGTTTAATTATAACAAATTAATGCAAGCCTAAAGTTCATTGCTGCTTGTTTGAAACAACTTTATGGATTCTTTGCACTTTTCCATGAAGGATGACAATCGCACTCACAATATTGTTTATTGTTCATTATTTATTGATAACAGTCACTTCATTTTTGGTCTTAGATTCGAATAAAAACCCCAATGAATAAAAATAGCAACTAAGCATTTTGCATTTATTTTGTAATACTTCGCGTAACCTTCAGTTGATCAATGTTCAAATTTCTCCACAGACCACTGGTTGCTGACCATTGGTCTAGAGTAGCCTTATCATCTAAAATTTGAGTCCATCTAGGCAGAAATGCAACTCCTCCATTAATGTTTCAAATAGAAATTGTTCTATATATGGGAATGTTATGTATCATCATCAGCAAGCCTGCACTACATTAGAACTCCTGGGGTATTGGATATCCTAAGTTACTTAGTTGTGGCATAGATTATTTCAGTCACATTCTGTCAGTCGGTATTTTGAATTTAGGGTTTCTTTGGCTTAGCTTTAGCCCTCATAATGCCAAGCTGCAACTTTTAATCATATTTTTAATTTATTTAATTTAAAATATATGCTCTCAACCTCAAATTAGTAGTGTGTTGCCCCTGTACATCATACTTTTCCTGATAACAACAGTGTCATGCCAGTCAAACAAGCAACTTTTCTGTGGGGAAAATTTTTAAATTGAAATCATGTGACTTCCAGTCTAGTTCGGAAGTTCATATATAGTTCATATGGAAATCCCTTTTTATTACATTAATACAGTTGTGCAACTCTCCCACACTTGATATACTGGAGCTATGGACAGCACTGTTTAACCTAAAACTACAGGTTGTGTGGTTTGTTATAAAACATCTTGTATTACCAGTGTGTTTGTTTATTTATTGTTTAATTTATTAATACTTATTTATTTTGTATTTTAATACTGTCACTTTTATCAGTGTTATTTCTTTGTATATCATTGTTATTTTTTAATATTGTATAATTTTGTAGTTTTTTATATATATATTATGTAAATTCTATGCTCATGAACAATAAACAGTTTGAAAATGTTCTATTTCTACAATTCAAAATGTTCTGTTCTTTATGAACAATATTGCCTGAAGAGGACAGTTACATACTGTTGGAATACAGTATTTGTGAAATAAATATTGTTCTGTAACACTGATAGACAGTTTTGTGTCTTAGCTTTCTGTATTAGTATTTGGCCTCTTAGTTATTTGTATATAGTTAATTGAGGCACCCTTCCCAAGTTTTCTACTTCTGGTTTCAACTTTCACCTATCTAATACCATTCTTGAGATTAGGGACAAACAGACTGACTGACATACAAACAGACAACAGTGGAAATTTATAATTCTACAATTTTTTCAAATTGCAGTCCAATCAATTCCAATCAATGAGTTACTCAATTTTCAAATTCTTCATTTGAGGATGACAAATGTGAAAACTGTGGAACATATTAGTATAAAACTTTTAAATGTTTTAGTTTGAGTTTTATTAAATTTGTTCACACAATAAACATAGTTGCCTGTTATTAGTATTCTCCTTGATATTAAGTGAAAATAGTTTCTTTGTTTTATAATATTAAAAAAAAAACAGTTTGTTTAAAAATAATTGATAAAATTATTTAATTAAAACATTTTTAAATATATTAGACTGAATGGAAATAAAACAGAAAATCTTACAAGACTTTTGAATTCAGAATTATTGGGCAAACTTTTTGAAATAAATTACAGATTAAATAAATTATTGAAGACAATGTTTTTAATTTCATAAATAACTTATAATGTGCACTTTATTTTACTTGAATTATATCATCACCTCAAAAATGTTTAAAAATAAGTTAATAACAACAACAAATATACACTGCAATTGATAAACAAAATTCNAAAATTTTTATGTTCTATTCATGGAACATTTACATTCCATTTTCGTTTTCGACCTGAAGATGGCCTATTAATTGGGCTGAAAACGTTTGTTTTTACAATTATATTTATTTCTCAGCAAAAAATTTGATTTGAAATTTTTTATGTTCTATTCATGGAATATTTACATTCCATTTTCGTTTTTGACCTGAAGATGGCCTATTAATTGGGCTGAAAACGTTTGTTTTTACAATTATATTTATTTCTCGGCAAAAAAGGTGTTTTGTTTTTAGTTACATTGATGTTACATGTTACTCTTGTTCCCTGTTAACAGCAATTCTAGTTCTACTAATCATGTAATAAGTATTTTTCTTATATTTTAAATCATAAAAGAAAGTTTAAACAATAACATATTACAACTTTCATAAATTTTAAAAATCTTTTTATTATATAAATAGAAGGTACAGTACTTTTTTATGTACATGCATAGCTTTTCTATACAAGTATGTTACAACTTATTAGCTAGTCTAATTGTTTTCTCTATTACTATTACTATTACTATTACTATTATTTTTTTTTTTTTTCACAAAACATTCATGCAAGCATTTCAACTGTTGTGAAGTAAATTTTGGTACTTTCTTATCACTTTTTCTAGTTTGATTCATTATCACAATTAAAAATAATTACTTGAGAAAAAAACAAAAAGTAAAACAAATAAAATTTTATTTTAGGCAAAAATTAAAATTATAAGGTATTGGATTTGATCATCAAACTGATTGAAAAATTTAAATTAACACTAATTTTAACTTACTTTGTAAAGATGAATTCTCTTCAATTTCTAAGAGTTTTAACTGTAAGCTACCTTTTTCTTCTTCTAATTCAGCTATCCTTAAATTCAATGATGCTATTTGATTTGAATCACTATCTTTCTGCACAAAAGAATATTTCTTATGTAATTATAAATATTAATTAAAATTTCTGATTATTGAAAATTACAGAAGAATCTCTATTAATTAATGAATCTCTCATATACTCTGAATGTATATTCAGAGATTCATTAAATCACTTTTTGCAGGTTATATTTAAACGATTAAATATTTAATTCTTTAAAATATCCTAATTATTAAAAGTATTAATATTAAAGACATATTACAAAATGTTTAATTACAGAATATAAAGTAATAGTAAATGTTTCTATTTTATACATAACTCTATTTTCATAACTTTTCATATTCAGCAATCTTACAAACAGAAGTAGAAATGTTTTATGAATTAACATTTCAATTACTAAAATATTAATTCAAATGTAATGTAAATGTAATTAATTTTTTCCTTACTTTTTCTGCTCTGTGGGCACTAAGAGAGTCTTTTTAATTTTATCCATCATGGATTCAACTAGATTCACATTAAGGGGGGCCAGGTAATGAGGAACGGAACCTGATATACCCAGGAAAGATCATCCCAAAAATCCCTGGAGTTTTTTTGACTGTCCAGATTTGATGCCAGGTTACCCAGAGCAGTAGGCTGACATCTTAACCACCTTACTGTCTGGCCAACCAAATGTGATATCAATACATTTATATTATTGATAATGGAGTTGCAGAAAAAATTTCTCTGCTGAAATGTCCACAGTTCTTAAACAGAATTGTAATAAAAAATTTCATTGTACTGCATAAGTCATAAATGTAATTTGACAAATTTGTAATTAAGTTTAATGTTATTTAATAAATAAGAAAAATTAGAGTTAAGTGACATCACAATCAACTTCCATTAGTTCAAGTCTTATAAACTACATGCAACATTTTTTAATGGTAAAAATTTATTCATTTATAGTTTTATTGTGCACATTACATTCATATGTTAACTAAATGACTGATAAAACTGTTTCAATGTTTTTGTTTTTCATAACAAAAATGTAACTATTTAAATTTTACCATTCTGTTTTTCTTTCATAGTTTCAAATAGTTAATAAATATTAAATACATAGTTGATCTTCATAACTATTTAATGTACTGTTTCTCTAAATCAGCGTTTCTCAAAGTGGGCGATAACGCCCCCTTGTGGGCGCTGGAGGCTTTCAGGGGGGCAGTAGAAGGCTCAAAGGAAATTGGGGGGCGTTAAGGAAATCTAGAGGGGCGACGGCAGACAAATTCTATATATAAAAATCTGTGACGGAATATATATAAAATGTTGACATTTTATTTATTTTTTATTGAAGGTCATAAGTTGAATATTTCTAACACATTGACTTATATTTTAGCTCAGTGTTTCTCAAAGTGGGCAATAACGCTCCCTTGTGGGCGATGAGTAGATCTAGGGGGCGCTGGAGGCAGGGTATTGAACGGTGACCAAAGGCAAAATTGGGGCTGATAAGAGGAAACATTGCGTTTAATGGTTTCCAGATATTGTGAACAATGTACAGTAAGGGCACAAAGTGTGAGATTCATAGAAAAGTTTTCCTAAGAATATTTCCAATCCTTTCTCACACAAGAGAAAATGGGTTAGGGGGCGTTGGGTATAACTTTATGGAACAGAGGGGGCGGTGGATCGAAAAAGTTTGAGAATCACTGCTCTAAATCAATAATACAATTATGTAGAATAGCTACCAATATCCTCCAATACACACTGGGTTTCCTATAAATGCCAGCTATTTAGTTTGAACTGCTAAAGTACTCACAGTATTCATACTAAACATCACAAACTGCATATAAGAATTTAATGCCAGGTGTCATTAAATTCCTATATACAGTTTGTGATGCTTAGGAGTGTCCTGTATGTGCTGTGGTAATTTTTCCATGGGAACCCTTAAAAAAATGCTTTTCCCATGACATAAATCACAACTGGGGTACATGTTAAATAATACATGAATGAATGCAGCTTTCTGTACTTTCTGTTTCAAACTATTCATTTTACATAGATAAGTGAACTAGATGTCAATTTGAATGGCAACCAAGAGGTCTTACATCATTGCCTTAAATTAAATGCAGTTGCATACACAAAAGAACACTCCAGAAAAACAGCAGTATGGAAATTCAAACTGCATCCAAAGCAAATTCATGAATGGAGGAGTAAGCTATCAAGAATAAGAGTGAAGCAAGGAGGCTTGCAGGAGGAGGATGCAAGAAGATCAGTGAAAAATTAGAAGTGAAGGTTCTGCATGGATCTGTAAGAAGTGAGAGAAAAATAACCATGTCTCAAGACAAATGGTGATGGACAAGGCAAGAGAAATCTTCCCAGTTAGATAAAATTTATTTTAAAAAAATGAGATGTTCATAGCTAGCAGAGGGTAGCTAGAAAAATTCTGAAATGTAACCATTTGTCCATGAGATGAAAGATATCACTTGAGCAAAAAGATCCTTAGGTGCTACTTGATATGCTAGTATTGTATATAATAACCATTTCCAACATGCAAGAAAAAAGTGCATCAATGATTCATAGCTATGAATGAAACATTAGTGTGTTTTGATATGCATGAAAGCACCAAGACTGCAACAACTGAAAGAAAAAGTATCCTATCATGAGAAATATCATTTCACTGTTGCTTTAGTAGCAAAAGGCAATGGAACAAAATTGAAACCTTTCATCACATTTTGGAAAAGGGTGCATGAAGTGAAGAGGCTGCAGAATGTTCCTGGAGATGTTATTCCAAGTCTAAATCAACAATTGGATGTTGTGGATGTTGGACAAGAAAATTTTCGAGTGGCTGCAGAAAATCTGTGGCAAGTTTTCTTTCCAGCATAAAGTGCTTGTACAGGATTTGTATTGCTGCCACATCAGCAAGAAAACAAAAAAGAATCTGGAAAACTATAACATGAGCATCATTGTTATTCCAGGTGGCTGCACAAAATATATTCAAGCAACAGATATGATGTGATATAATCCCTTCAAGAACAAAATATGCCAGTTCAATCACTCTTCGATGGTGAATGACAAAGATAAACATTACACATGTGAGGGAAATCTCAAAGCACCTTCTTCACATCTAATGACTTCTTGGATTCAACAAGCCTGGGAAATGGTCCAAATGAAATGATCCATCACTCTTTGAAAAACTGCATATTGACTAACAAAACAGATGGCTGGGAAGATGCATCCATCCATTCTTTCAAATCCAAGGAGCTGTACCTTAGGAGTAAGTTCAAAAGCAACAAGTGAATCCTAGCCTGCTACCAGAGGAAGAGAATCTCAAAGAAGCTTAATGTAATGAAGTTGTAATCTACAGAGATAATGAAAAAGGTAAACATTATGACATTTTCCACAGCTACGGTAACTAAAATTGCAGATACAATGATACTTTAATTAACGTTATGCTTACAGTAGTAATGTTGTATGGTATTGTGCTTTGTATTAAGTAAGGAATTAAATAAAAAGGAAAATTCTTGTAAATTACCCACAGTTTTCATTATTTGGAGAGAATAGATGGAAGAAACAATGTTGATGGTGGTGGTAGTGGAAAGAAGATTGAAAAATATTTCCCCCTTTTTTACCAGTAGTTTTGATGCAAAATTCTGCAAGAATGGAATGCCATGTGCTAGGTATATTCTGTCTAATAGACATCTGACATCTACTGAACAACATATTTCATAATTTACAGTATTCTGTAAATTATGAAATAGTGTGTAATTATTTGAAGTTAAATTAATATAAATAATATAAATTTTTTATTACATATTTTGAATTTTTCAACATTAATTTTACTTTCAAAAATAACTTTTGATTATTTAGGATATTCATAATAATAAATATTAATTGAAATATACCAATAACATTGAAATAGTACATTACATAAAAACTTTTAAATTACCTTTGCAGATTCTAATTCTCTTTCTAATGCTTTAAATTTAATTCTTTCTTTCACTCTAGCTTTAAGAACTTTCTCATCAGTTTGGTTTTCTATGTCCTTTAAAGTTTTCTTGAGTTCATTTCTCTCTGTTCTTTCAGATTCAATTTCTTTTTTTAAGTTCACTGATTCATCATGCATGCGTACTAATTTTTCTTGCAATTCTCCATTTTTTGTAGCAAGTTCAAATCTAACTTTTTCTAGTTTTTGCACACTTTCCTCTAAAGTCTTTACATCATCATTTTTATTCTGTAACAATTTATTATATTTATCTTCAAGTAATTCAATTTGGCTTTTCAATTGTTGATTTTCTTCCTTCCATTCATTTTCTTTACTAATAAAATTTTCCTGCATTAAACGCATTTCATCTCTGGTAACATCTAATTGATCAATCACTGATTTACCTTTACGATTCAGATCTTCAGTCATCAACTATAAAGAAACATTTATTAGAATAAGCCATACTTGAAAAGTATAAAATCTGATTTATGAGATTCTCTATCATCTATTAAACATAATGTATAACTTCTAAACAAAAATATAAAGTTACTAATACAAAATGTATCTTATATTTAATTTATTACATTTACAATTATATTTATTATAACTAATATGAAGTGTATTATAGAAAATATAAGGTTGTATGTGCAGTTATGCAAATTAATTACATTAGTATATTTAGATTAGTTTGAAGACTGCTATTAATCCATGAAAAATTATTTTAAAAGAGAAACAATAATAATCACATTGCTTACTCTTTATTTTTATTTATTATATACATTCAATTATTTATTTAAAGAATTCAATTTTTGATATTATTAATAAGTTCATTTATTTTGTTTGAGTTACAGATATGTCTCAGTTTACAATGGACATCTGTTCCAATAGTCTAGTTGTAAGTCCATATAACTGAAAGTCCAACGTAGTATGTTCAAACAAAATATGTCACTATTCTCACTTCCTCAGCCGTTTCTTTACGAATATAAACAAAACACCAAACGCTTGCTGAGCTTATTATTACTTTAATTTCAAACGTTTTCAGCCCAATTCCAATAGGCTATCTTCAAGAACTTGAAGATGGCCTATTGGAAGCTTGAACAAAAAAGCCATACACATATCCATTTTTTAGATATTAACATAAGATTTAAACAAGGATATGTACAAACGGCAGTGTATCTAAAACTCACACATGCTCCACTATATATCCCAGCATGGTCTAATGATCCAATTAAATACAAAATGTCTTCGTTTAGGTCGCTTATTAAAAGAGCATTCTTATATTGCACCAACATACAAGACAGAATTAGCGAGATTAACAGAATCAAGAAGATTGCGAAAAGTTTAGGATACAAAACATCTACAATTAACGGTTTGGTCAAAGGTTACAAGCAAGGGACAAACAAACGGAATAAGCCAAAAGTTAGGTTTAACAAGTTTACATACAACAGGAATGTCAAAGGAATAATGGAAGAATTATGTAAATATAAGAGCACAAGATCTGTTTATAAACGAGCGCCAAACATCTACAAGTTACTAAGAAATGATAAGGACAAGATAGGAATGAAGGAAAAAGCTGGTGTTTATAGAATTCCTTTTGAAAATCAACAATTAGGAGTGGCAAAAGATTATGTGGGCGTCACCACAAGAAACCTGGCGGTTCGTTTAAAGGAACATATGTATGACGTTAGTAAAGGGAACAACAACACCATCTTGGCAATCATGGCGCAAACAGAGGGTGCAAGTGTTAAATGGGATGAGGCACGAATTGTTAAACCGGTCCATTCTCCGACTATTGCGTTTGGCATAGAAAAAATGGAGATTTATAAGAGTAAGATAAATAGCAAGTGTCTAAACGCCAAGGATGCTAATGCTCTTCCAACGGCATGGAAGTACATAATAGAAAAGGAAATGGGAATTAAAAACCCGTAAACTTATGGCAGTTGTGTATTACTGGTTTAATGTATATTTTTGTTATAGTAAGCTTTATATTTTTATATTTTTTATATTATTTATGTTTATCATATAATATGTTAAAATTTTTTAGTTAAATATTTAATAGTTTACAGTTTATATTTAAAAATATGTTAAATATTTAATGGTTACAGTTTATGTTAAAAGTTTAAATTTAAAATTTATTCGAAAGTTGTATTCGATTGTAGAATAATAAGTTCTTGAAGATGGCCTATTGGAATTGGGCTGAAAACGTTTGAAATTAAATTAATAATAAGCTCAGCAAGCGTTTGGTGTTTTGTTTATATTTTTCAAAATATGTCAGATGGTGAGAGAAGTCACATGACCACTACAAACATATCATACTGTGAGACATTTTTATACTAAGATTTTTATAAACAGTATTGAAGTCAAGTCACTCACACTGGTCACTTCCATTGACCAATGAGTGAGGTTGTGTTGGAGAAAGAGCCTACATGGCTAACATCTACATATTAACCTATTAGAAGAAGAACAGTATTGCATGTCAGTAATGATAAAAATAAAGTTTACCTTATGTTTTATTTATTACAGTTAATATAAAGTGTTATAGAAAATATGAGGTTGTATGTACATTTACACAATTTGTAGCATTTGTTACATTGTTTTATTTTAACTGTATTTATCTTGTGTTTGCCAATATGGCTACTATGAATACTTTATGGGACAACTGCTGTAACTTCACATAGCTGAGAAGTTGTAAGTCAAATTTCATTTATATTTTACTGATTACAGTTGTATGTAAAAACTAATACAATTCCTTAATAAAATGCATGGGAAAGTTACCAATCAATAATATGTTTTTGTTCAAGAATCACTGATTTAGAATAAAATATGTTTTCTTTAATAATATTTAATTGAACGTATATTCAATAGAAAATCAGAAAAGTGTCATTAAAACTTAGGAGGATAAGTAATGGCATAGTAATTTTGGAACACAAAACCTCCAAATCAGAAGCAACACTAACTGTGACTGCCAACACTGTTGATGTATGAGAACATAAGATAATAGACTGATAAAATGGTGGCTTCTCTCTAGCAATGCATGAAGCAAGAAGTTGTCCAATTTTTGGCAACACTGCAAGGTATACATTTGACTTATAACTGAGGACCTTAGATACCTTAGTCTTCAATTATAAGTCAAATGTACCTATAACTATGAAATTTAATATATTTAAAATGTATATAGATAAAATAAAAAATAGGACAAGTGAATTAGAAAATCAAAAACGGAAATAGAACAAATAGTAAAAGTGTTCATATTAAATGATTACCTGAAGACACTAATACAGAAAATAGCTATTGATATACAGGGGAAAAACAATTTTATAAATAAAAAAATTTTGTAAAATTAATGTATATACCAACATTATTTGAAAGAGTTAAGAAAATATTGGCTAATAAAATAAACTTAATACCAGAAAAAATAGACTGAACCAAAAAATATTTACGAATAAAAAACAGAAACAACAGAAGAAAAGGTAATATATTCATTTGATTGCAGTTGTGGACAAAGAAGAACCTATATAAGAGAAACAAAAAGAGAATTAAAAATACATATAAAGGAACATATCAGAGTTATAAAAGGAAATTATGCAAATTCTGCAGTAGCAGAACATTGTAATAAAGAAGGATGTGAAATAGCATCGGATACAATAAAAATAAAGGAAAAGGGAAGATATAATTTTAAAAAACAATTATACAAACATATTTACATAAAAAGACAAAACAATAGAATAAAAAATAACTTGGATTGAGAATCCACCAATCATGGAACAGTATTATCAATAACAGGAGTAAACAATAAACAAACGTACCGGGAACCTGTTGCCAGTGTGCTTCTTGGAAAAAAACAGAGCGTTACGAACGTTTTCGAACTTGAAAGTTCTTCTTCAGGTAACTGACGACTGTTAAGCGAATGCAATTCAAATTTAAGTCGAATTGGAATATCATTCAGAATTATATCGCGTGGATCGATGACGTCATTCACACATGCGCCCCTCTGCCGGTTGTAAATTATCATAAGTTTTTGTCTATGAGCGCCTGACAAGCAGTTGACAGGGTGATTTCATCTTTGTGGTTAATGCAATTATCATCTTTTAGTGTAGCCATACAGATGTAAATGACCTCTAGCCATCTATGTCAGGGGTATACACCATCTCGATTATGGACCATAGATGGGACAGAAGCCTGATCTACGTAGGATCCACAAAGTACTCTCTAGAAGTGAGAATTAAAGAGCACACAGCTGATATTCTACATGCGAGGCAAACCACCGCTCCAGCCATCTATGCTTCAGATATGGAAGTAGAGCCATTGTTCAACCAGGCCAAGGTGATCCGCACTACAAAATACATACACCATCTTAGATGGCTAGAGGCCATTTACATCTGTATGGCTACACTAAAAGATGATAATTGCATTAACCACAAAGATGAAATCACCCTGTCAACTGCATGTCAGGCGCTCATAGACAAAAACTTATGATAATTTACAACCAGCAAAGGGGCGCATGCGTGAATGACGTCATCAATCCACGTGATAATTCTGAATGATATTCCAATTTGACTAGAATTTGAATTGCATTCGCTTAACAGTCGTCAGTTACCTGAAGAAGAACTTTCAAGTTTGAAAATGTTCATAACCAGGCATAAAAGAATTTTTTTTTCCGAGAAGCACACCAACAACAGGTTCCCAGTACATTTGTTTATTGTTTACTTTAACCCAGTGTAGTATAATTCCAATTTAATAACAGGAGTAATAGACTGGAATGTTCATAAAGTGAGCTAAGTAAAAATGTTATTCATCGTTTGACATTACAGGCACAGTTATGTGAGTAAAAAATACTTTTAAACATTTTATATATTATAATTTTATAAATGCGTGTTTTAACTTTATACAGGTATTGTGATATTATAATAGGAATTCTTCTGTGTATTTACATATCAAAGTAATTAACAAAAGAGAAATTGTAAGTTATGCAAAAATCTATATATTACTATCAGGTACTTTTAACATATTGTATTATTGTAAATTTTTATAAATTTTATTTTTAGCACTGTGTTTTTGTAAACCTGCTGAAGAGGAAGGGACCTGAAGGTCTGAAACACAGATAAAGTGTGTACAGGTGAAAATACCAGGTGAACAATAACAATTGTTTGTTTTCTCTGAATAAGTTTTTCTCAATTGCAGAAACTGAACCAGTACAATAAGTCCTATTAATAAGATCTGTCCTACTAGACATTTATATAACAGACAACTACATGAATTGCACTAAAGTGTATGAGTACAGTTCTAAGATTCTAAAATCAGCCACAGTTCTGAGGAAGATTCTCAATGGCTGGGACTGCAATGAATGCCAAGGAGAATCTTCCATAGAACTGTGGATGCTTTCAGAACCTTATAACTCTACTTGTACACTTGTGTACAATTCATATAGTTGTCTCCTTACTGTACCTGCATTTGCCAGTGGATGTTGATTGGTTTTTGTCAAAAATCAGACAACACAGCAACACAGCATCATGCACTGCTGGAGAGGTGACACTATTCTATTAGTCTGTTGCCAGTTGCTGTGACTTGGAAATTACTAAGCTATTGATCATCCTTCCAACTTTCAACGCACTTTTTCAGTATTCTATTGAATATGCCTTGTAATGATCAAAAAAGGTATGACTACTTAAAATAAGATGTATTACAAAATATTTATTTAAACCAACAAAATTAAAACAGATTAGTCTTTGTGTAAACAGATCATCACAAAAATATATTGGTATTAAATTAGAATTGTTCCAGATTTTTTAAAATATTGTTAAAACTATATGCAAAAATACACAGTACCTGTATTGCTTGATTACGAGTTTTCAATACTTCATTCTTTTCTTTAATATGTTCTTGTAAATCTATTATCGTTCGTTCTTTCTCCGAAATCAAATCATTTAATTCCATAATTTTGGAGTCTTTGTATACCATTTGAGCATATAGTTCTTGCACATTGTATGTATCCTGCTGAATAATAAATAAAACAAATAATGTAATTTTTAAAAAAATAACAACAAAAAGATTATCAGTAGCTATCTATTCTATTTTCCAACAAACAAAAAAAAATTAAGAAATCTTTGATTAATATTCTTAATCAAAAAATTCATAAAAACAATAAATATAAGCAAGAAATACAATATAAATATATTTGCATTATTAAAACATGCATTCAACAATAACAAGATAAATACAATATTGAAGAAAAAGTATTTTTATATTTAATCTTACTATCTTCATTATCCATGAAATCATCAAAATGCACTGAATGATTACACAATGTAATACAAAATAAAATCATAAAACATCTATATCAAAATATAGTTTTTTTATGAATACAATCCATTAAATAATAAATTTTAGTAATGAAATAATTCTAATTATAAATTATTTGGTATTTTTTACATAGTAAAACATCTGCATAAGAATAAAAGATTAAATATGATAAATTGATCACTGACTGATAAATATTGCATTTTTCCAATCAAACAAAATTCTATTTTATATTCATCTAGTGTAATCTGGAATTTAAGTTTCTTCAAATTAATAAATTTTTATGCATATCATATTGCTGTACATGTAAGAACATGCTCTTATAGATGGAACAAAACTGAACTGGCATATATAGGGCAAGTCAAGTGGAGAGGGAAATAAGTTGGGAATGATAATATAGATCATTGTAAACAAAATCTTTATACAAACATGAGTATTATTCTTAGGAGTTTTTGAAATACAGCTATTTGTAAGTTGTTCACATACAACAATAATAATTAATGATACATGTGTTACATTCATAACAAATGCTCAAAAATTGAACTCAACCTCAATACATTTTACAACTTGTGTCCAAAGACAACCTGTCATTTCTCCAAGTTACTTGGTAATAACTATGTACAAAATTCAGCATCTCCTGAAACATATGTTGATATGCTGAAAGTATAAGAATCTAAGCCAAAGTGATGTAAAGTTTAAGTGTATTGAGGTTCATCTATATAAGAGCAAGTACTTATACACAGAGCAAAATTGGCACTATATTCTGCAAAGTAGTTTTTTAGCTACTATCTACTAAAAACACATTATTTTTTCAATTTTTAGCATGCTCCACTAGTGGTGAAGTAATAGCAGCCTGATAGCCGAGCAGTCAAGGTTTCAGCCCTTACTGCTCTGGGGGACCCAGGATCGAATCCAGATTGGTCAAATAATCCCCAGAAACTTTTCAGGGGGTGGTCCATTCGGATATGTCAGGCTTCGTCCCTCACCACCCAGTTGCCCCATTGTGGGCCTGGCTGAACCCATAACGGGCTTGCAAAAATAGACCCTCTTAGTGCCCACAGGGTGGAAAGAGTTTTAAAAAAAGTGATGAAGTGCTTATGTTAGGACATTTGTCCATCTGTCAGATTGCCACACGCATGTGCAATGACTTCACTTTCATTACCTAAGTGTTATGTTCAATTCAATCCATTTATTGTGCATGCACAATGACTTTACCTGTAAAAACTCTTTGCAGACTTGTATTTCTTCTTAGAATTGAAATAAGTCAATTGAAGTCTTTGTATAAATGATAAAATTTCTTCACATTCAATGCTTTTATTTCATATATTGAGCTTTAACTGAATTATTGCAAATTAAAGACAAAAAACCTATTCCAGCAACTATTTTTTATTTTATCTAACACTTTCGACCATCTGTGTGGCCATCGTCAGGATCAAACACTTTGAATAGAATTCTTTCATGTTTAAATATTACGTTGGTTTAACTAATGGTTTAGAACATAATATTTAAACATTTATGTCTATAAACCACATTCCTTACTGGCTTACTGTATACTCAGTGAAAATTCTTCTGAACAACTACTTGATTCCAAGAATTTATAAAATTTATTTTAAACAAAATTAATATTTGATTTGCTTTTGTGGAGTGTGCTATGTGCAATCAGATCAGCTTGACCAATCAGTTATAGTATTGAAGTTATTTTTTTTAAATAACAGTACACAGCAAAACTGGAACCATACAACAGTGAAACTAAATTTGGTGTTAAGTACAGGGGTGGCCAACAGTTTTTGCTCCTGGGCTGAATTGGAAAGAAAACTTTTTCCACGGGGTGAACCAGAGGCTGCCCTAGGAAGATTTGAGGTGGTGTGAGATCTCATTGTGGTGTCACCCATAGAGACTAAATTGTGGATAGAGATTACAGATACATTTTTCACATTATCATGCTAAATGCACAGTGAGTTATTGACCTTTTTTTTTTTTAGGAGTCAAAAAAATTTTTCATCGAGCTATTCAGACTTGAGTAGTTAATATTGAAAGATTGATTTTGTGGGCCACATACATTCATTAGACGGACCATATGTTGGCCATGCCTGTGTTAGCATATAATAGAAAACCTAATGTTTTCTGCCTCTTATCTAACACAAAAAATATCACAAATGACGCAAAAGCGCCAGGATACACCTGGTGCTCTTGCATCATCACATTCACAGTCCAAGATGGATGATTTAACACGCAAATATCGTACATACAATCTACAGATCCCTGCAAGCCATAATATGACCACAAATACAACATAACCAAGGGGAATTTCAACACAATGCTTGCCCATTTTGCAACCAAAAGTGAAGTTCCCCCTTGCTGGGATGAAACTACACTTTTACACAGGATATTTGAGTGACATGACTTGGAGGCTTTAGAAATCTACATTTCTGAAAAAAAAAAAAAAAAAAGGATGTTGCATTAACTCTGATGACATTACAGTACTGCAAGCATGGAAATATTTTATAGATTCACACAGAATTTAATGTTTTTAACTTTATTATTTAATATCATGCCTTTTGTTTATTTGTATTTTTACACTTTAAACTCTGCATCACAATATGTATCAAACATCAGCTCTATTTCTTAGGTAATAAGGTTTTTATTTACGGGTCTTCAAGCCGGCGTTCCAACATGCTCATTACGCCTAGCGCGTCTCGTTCGCCGAGGATACCGCAACAACATCTTTTTGAATATTTGAAATTTCTATTTCAAATGCAATGGTATTCTCTGTCAAACAACAGAACTGTTTTTTGGTTTTTTGTTTTATTTCCTGATGAGGGCCTCTAAATTGTGGCTGAAAATGTTAGATCATTAAAGTTATTTGCTGGAAATCACATATAAATGTTAGTTTCACTGTCATTTTTTTATTTAAAATTTTTATTTTTAATAATGGTTACCACAGAGATGTCATTGAAAGTTACCATATCAGTGTATTTACATGTAATTTGCATTGACACATTAATGCAATGTTTTTGTAAGCAAAAACTAACATACATAGTAAGAGCATGCCTTACATGTGAGATATGCTTTTATAAGCAAAGCAATATGTATTTCAAAAATTCAAAAACAAGCAATGTTCACATATAAGAGAATGTTCTTATTTGCACAGAAATATGGTAATAATCAGTTGTAAAAATATCATTTATTAATACTAGATATTAAAACAATTTTTTGAAGTCTTACTCAGAAATAAATTTATTAGCTTTGTATCAATAGCATAATATTAAATATTGATCTAAATTCAATAAATTTGAAAAAAAATTACTAGAAATATCTACCTTACTCAGTAATATATAAAATACATCTTAAGTGAAGAAGGATGATAATTTTATCATCCTTCTGCACTTAAGCATCATTGAAGATTATAATTTTTAAACAAAACAATGTCAAATAAAAATTTGAAATTATGAAATATAAAGTGTTATCTTGGTTAAATGAAAAAATAAAAAGTAAGATGATATCAAAACAAAGTTTTAAAATAATTCTTGAATATCAACCTTATAATTTCCTTCAGAATTAGTAGATTTTAATTCACTCTTCAAAGATTTGATAATATTCTCTTTATCTTCTAACTGAACTTCAAGGTTTCTTAACTGATTCTCCAAAGTAGTTTTATCAGCTATTAATTCTTTTTCTGTTTTATCAAATGCTTGTTTTACATCTTCCAATTGTTTTTTTAACATTATAACTTTTCCTCTTTGACTTTGTTCATTATTTTCTATGGTATCTGATGTTGTTTCAGCTGAAGTTTCCTTGAAGGAGAAAAAATGCTTAATTTATATTGTTAATTAGCTTTCATTATTCTCATATTTAACCAAACTATAATTTATATATTTATATTATTTAAATACACAAAATGCAAATAAAAAATTTCTTTTATAAAACTCAATTATTAAATTTTTGTTTAAACACATATCTTTAAAAATGAATAAAATATAAAAGTTTAGAAAATTTGATGCATTGTTTAAATCAATGGTTTCCTGAGAAGGGTCATATGAAATGTAAAAGACAAGTCTGGAAGCCATACATGAAAAATATATCAAAGATTAAGGCTTTTTTTTCTGAATTACAATAGACATAAGTCAATGTGAAATTTTTGACTGTTTTTTCAAAACAATGTCATCAAAATTGGGGAAAAAATTTAGTGGTGCAGGTATACCTCACCTTACGTCAGTAATTGGTTCCAGGAAAACAACTTAAGTCAAAAAACGACGTAAGTCGAATTTACTTGTCTCCGAATCTACTTGTCACTAGGCTAAACTATAAATTACTATTCCCAGTTCTGTATTTTATTTATTAATGCATTATTATATATGGTCAATAAGAATCTATTTTAAGCTTACAAACAAATAAATTTTAGTTTTTAATAGAGTACAGAAAAAAGTAATCTAAATTTACGAATGCATGTACTGTGCTGTAAATACAGTACATACTTGTAAATGTGTATATTTTAATATGATTTTATGTGCTTTAAACGCTTTTCTAGTGATATTACGACTTCAATATTTGTGGCGGATGGACGTAAAGTCGAATAAAATGACTTAAACTTGATTTTTATTTTTTCGTATACTTTTTTGACAAACGACGTATAATCGGGTACGACGTAACTCGAAACGACGTAAGTCGAGGTATACCTGTACTCAATATTAAAATCTCTTTAGATATTTCAGTGTTGTGTAATATTTTGCTTTTATATATTTCATTTTTCAAAAGATTTGTTCCAAAAGAAACAAAAATAGAAACTATCCCTCATGCAAACTTCTTAATACTTTTAAAATTTTTTTCTAGCAGAAATTTGTAAAAATTTCACAAACTTCTTTCTTTGAATAAGTTCCATAAAAATCATTTCCAACAAGGTCTATTAATCCTAGCTGACTTTTCAATGCTTTGAACTAGTTCAAATGCTGATGATAAAATATGTTAGTGAATAAGCTATGAGGCTGAATAAATATACTCTGAGAGCTGTAAATTAGAGTCAGTGGTACACTCAAGATTTAATTTACAATTAAACATTAAAATAATTAATTACAAAATGCCAGGACGAATAATAATACATTATAAAATTCTAAAGAAATTCAGATATAAAAAATAAAAAAATTATTAAAACTATTAGTAACATAAGATTTCTACACTTACCTCAACAGAACTAATCTTATTTCTTTCTTTTAACTGATTAGTTAATTGAGCTATTTTAGCTTTTGACTGTAATTTGAGTTTCTGATATTTTGAATGTGAATCCTAAATGAATAATTGAATTTTATCATCATAAAGATTAAAACAAAATAAAATTTTAAAAAATTCCTAAAACAAAAATTAAATTAACTTTTTATATTAATATGAAAAATCAAAACATCTCTCAGATATTTCTTTAATAACTCTTTATAATTAACTAAATATATATAAAAAATTTTGTTTTAATAATAAATAATTACATCAAATAAATAAAATATAAACTTGAAATATCTTTTTTATTTAAAGATAGTGTAAGCAATTTCATATAACTATAAAAATTGTAATTATAAAAAATCTTGTCTACATTATAGCTAAAGTTCTCCTCAAATGTCTTTTTTCTATACCAAGAGATAGGGCCTAACATATCTGGAATAGATCACCAATGAAAAATTTCTGGAATTCTTCACTAGCCCAGATTCAATTCCAGGTTCCCAGAGTTGTAGGTTGATGTCTTAACTGCCTCAGCCATTTGGCCAGTCAAAGTACAACTTAACATATTCACTGCTGAAGACATCTTGAAGCATTTTATACTGCTATGTTCAATATGCTAAGGATGCTCATGTGCTTTCTAAGATTGATTATATTATCACTCAGGAAAATTTTATTCTTTGTTTTTAAAAAAGAAAGTTTGTTTTTAACATTTATTATATACTTCAAACTCTGTATACATTTCAAAGTACTCTGTATATTAATTCTTTATCAGTACAAACCAAGTATCACATCTTACTTTATAAAATGTAAAAAAATTCCTTAGACACTTTTAACATATGTATTATGATTTTAAAAAAAATATTTTTTTAATTTTACATATTGATAGGAAAATCAGTTTTTATACAGGCAGTGAATGTGTGAAACATTCTCTCATCTGGACTCTAATCTAGTTACATACAGTAATACCCTGAACTTACACGATAGGTGGGACCAAGCAATAATTGTGTAAGTTGAATTCGCATAAGTTGGGGTATAATTTCGCAATTTGTGTAAAATCCAAGTTGAATGTATGTAAGCTAATAAATGTTCTCGTTAATCTTATCTTGTCTTTTGATTCATTCATGGTTGCAAGAAATCACCACATAGAGTCTCTCAAGTCTCCGTAGATATAACAAACACAGAAATAAATAACACAAAATAAATTGGAGCTATGTGTCAATTCCACACGACACATCTGAATATGTAAGCTAAACAATAGTTTGGGGGGAGTGAGTAATCAAGAGTTGCGTGGCGCTCAAACAAAAGACGAATCGACAAAATTTGAAAATTGCGTAACTCCGGGTTCACATAAGTTGGGGTAGCATAAGTCGAGGTATTACTGTATAATATAATTATATACATAAAAGTGAGTTGTTGACACAATTGGTGACATAGAAGCAGTGACACTGATCTAGTGTCATCTATTGTTCACATTTTAATTGATTTTTTAAAAATTAACTATATTTAAAAATGACATTACTCACATTGCTCATGTTTATATTTTTACAACAGACTATAAATTACTTGGAAAGTATGTTCTCATAAATATCACATTTATAGAAAAATTATTAGACTGCAATTTGAAAAAACTGTAGACCTATAAATTTCCACTGTCCTCCCTCTGACTGTCTGTCCTTCTTTAATCTTGAGAAAGGAGTTAGATAGCTGAAAATCATGACCAAATATGGAAAGCTTAGGGCAGGAGTTTAACATATCGGTTGATCAATCTGGTTCAAATTTATACTTCTTTCAAAAAAAGCTTTTATGTTCTGAAACATAAAATATATAGTTAATGCTTATATAGTTAATCTGAACTTCTTGTCCATATTAACTATATATGAACTTCCAGTTTAGACCAGAAGTCACATTACTTCAATTCAAAAGTTCCCACAAATAGAGTTAGATTAAACTGACACAACTCTATTGCTAACAGAAAAAGTATGATGTGCAGAGGCAAGACATCACTAAAAGAATTGAAAACATTTAGATGAAAAATTGCAGCCTGGCATTGTGACAATGTCACAATAAATAATCAAATTAATTTGGTTTATTTGGTTACAGCAATGAGACACCTGAGCAATCTGTTAAGGAGAATGCATCATGGGAAGATTTTTATGTAAAGCTGGCCCACTATTTAGGTGTTACTAACAGGAAGAAAGTCCAGAAAACTGCACATTGCCAGCCCATTGGTCATGCCCAAACCCATGACAAACTAACTACTGATATTTGGTGGTTTTATCCATTCAGCTACTAGAAGGCACTTATGAAGAAAGTATCATTCAGAAATGAAAAAATCCAAGTGGCAAATGCTATTATGCTACATGTCACAGTAATTAAATGAATATAATATATATTTTCTTAAAATTATATCTTTTTTTGTAAGAATTATATTTAGTTTATGATTTATTAAATTTTTTGCCAATAGATGGTGCTATATGTAATCAGCAAATTGAATGTGCATAGAAATTAATTGATTTACAGAAATTCAATAGATACCAAAATATCTATTAAATTTTTGGGGTGGAATGTACATTATCTAAGTTAGGAGTATGTAAATATAACTGCCAAGTTTCACAGCAAGTGGTCAAATGGCCTAGGAGTGTATAGCAAGCAAACAAACAACATTCTCATTTATATATATACATATAGATTATTATTATGGTATTGGTAAATTGTATCCTACTCAATTTATAGTGGTGCTTAGTGCTATGCTGGACCAATGTCAAGGCACAGCTACAGAAAACATTGTTACTTTGTTTATGTGCTGTTCATGTATTAATATATATCTGTATTTTTATGTCTGTTCTATGTCAGCACATAAAATACTTCCTTAGAAAACATTGTTAAGACATCTTAATAATTTCTTCTTTACATTTTCATGTAAATAAATTATTAGATTTAAATATATATGTTATAAATTTCAGTCTAAGAACTGATTCAGTCTTAATTGAATCTTGTTTGAATGTCAAGTTATGAAGTCAAGTTGCTATCCATTTCAAGGGGCAGGAAATATATTCATAACAGTTTATAGTATTTTGATATCATAAACTTAATTCCAACAATAAGACATAAGTTTAGTAACATTAATACGTATAACGATAAATGGTGTTTGACAACTTAACCAGATTAAACTTCTCTAACAGATAAAGAATATTGTTTAACTTCTTATAACTTGCTCTGGCCACCCTCCTCCCCTATTCCTGTTTAAAGATAGTCTTTATTTAACACCAATAATCAAAATTTGTTGTCTGAAATAGTATTTCAACCAATTATTTGTTTTGTTTTAAATATTTTGTATGTAATTAATTCTTTCAGAATATTGAAGGCAGGACTATACGTTTTCTTGAGACTGGTTATGGACGATGGTGTCTGTTATTTAGAGCAGTGGTTCTTAACCTTTTTATACTCACGGCCCACCAAATATTTCATAATTTTTTGTGACTCCCATTTTTTTTAATAATAATTTATATTTGTTAAATTATCTATAATAAATTGATTTTTTTATTATTGCTTTATTTTTTTATACAATAAATGTAAAACATAACTTTATTATTTCATTATCTATTTAAATAATATTCAAACTTCACAATTAAACATAAAAACTCATTAATTTGAATAAAAAATAAAATAAGAAACATTTAAAAATTCATAGAAAACACAAAAAATATTCAAAAATAATTTAATGAGATTTCTGCTGCTGAATATCCTCAACTAATTTGTTAATTCTTGGTTCAATTGTTTGTAATGCTATCCTCATGCAGACATCTAATCGCAATAGATTGCATTTTTTTGTTTTTATATCCACCATAGTTGAGAACCCTCTTTCACACAAATATGTATACTAGCGAAAGGCAGCAAATTTTGCATTTCTGCTGAAAACAAAAGAGGATATTCTGCACAAATTTATATCCAAAATTGGGACACACTTTTAGTTTAGAAAACAGATCTCAAATTACAATTATTTATTAATTCCAATAATGTATCTTCATCAGCTGATGATAAATTAGTATTTTTATAATTGTTGTATGGATCTTGAATCCATAGTCTTGTAATGTGAACTTCATCATTAGGAAAATATTTATCAAATTTATCAATTAATTTTAAAAGGTGACATTTAATTAAGGAATTTACATTTTGTTTCTCAAATTGAAATTTTGAATCAGAGATTAATTGTGAATAGAATGAATACATTTCATATATATTTGAATCTATTCTTTGGATCCATCTTTGTAATTTCATTTTCATAGCCTCAATTTTGCATAATTTGGCAGTCCCCGGCAAAGTTCTTATGGACCCCCAGGGGGCTGCAGCCCCCTGTTAAGAAACACTGATTTAGAGTGTCCACTACAGTCGACCCCCCTATAACACTGTTGATTTTTCCGTTTTATATGAATTCCATGTTGTACGAGTCACTTATATTTTACAAATATGTGAGCTGTTCACAGCCAGGCACACGCATTTGTAAAATCTAAGTGACTCGTGCAACATGGAATTCATATAAAACGGAAAAATCAACAGTGTTATAGGGGGATCGACTGTATTTAGAGGTAAATATAATAGATAACCTATTTGAAGGTTCTGGGGATTGTAAAATGTCCATTAAGTAGAGGTGTGGTGTCTGCTATTCAAGAGTGTCTGTTAATGGAGGTTTCACTGTAATTAGTTAAATTTCACACTAAGCAACAGTTAACTTTCCTTATAAGCAAACAGCTTATACTTTTTCACATTAATTAAAAATTGTTTTTGTTTTAATTATATTCGACTCACCAAATAAACCATATCCAGTTCATAATCCAGCAGAAAACTTCTTTTTACGAACGTTTTCGTCTATATGTAATAGACATCATTATGAACTGGATATGGTTTATTTGGTGAGTCAAATATAATTGTTTTTGTGAATTTCTTTTGGATTTTGATTTATTAAATGAATAGAAAATTAATTAAATAATATGAAATGAATAAAAATGTCATTATTACAATATTAGAAATTCTGTATAATGAAAATGATTCTTAAATAAATAAAAGTTTAACATACCTCTAATTCTTTATTTTTTGCTTGAAGTTCTGTTTCATTTTTACGTACTAGTTCTTTTAATTGTGCTATCAGAAGTTGTTGATCTTCTACAAACTCCATTTTTTTTTATTTTATGCTATATCATTAATAGAATAACATTAATTTTATTTCTAGAATAATGTATATAATTCTCCAATATGAAAAATTAAACTGCTTTTAGTATAATACACTTTACTTACAGAAAAGTTAATAAATTTGTTACATGACAAATTTCCACTCATTTAATTTAAACAAAACATAAACAAACAAATTCAATAAACATTTAAATTTGATTTTACTATTTCAAACAAGTTTTCATTGACAAAATTTTAAATTTAGATATAAATATCTAAATTCAAAAGTTATAAACTGATTTTTAAAACTGTTTAATTTAATAAAATTTATGTTTAGCTGAAAGCATTTTCATTAAAGGAGATTATACAATTAAATAATAATGTAAAAATATAAATTTAACTTTTCATTTTTGAATTTATCAAATGTTAAACTTTAAACAATTACATTTAATTAAAAAATAATCTTTCCTATATTATATTTTCATTGTTCAAAATTAACTATACAGTCTAATATTTTTGAGAAGCAAATTACAATAAACATTTACTATTATTTTTCCCAATTACTCATAATTTAATTTTTATAATATTAAAACAGTAGTGCTTCATTCCAGTTACAAAGGCAAACTTAGTTTATAATGGGAAATGAGTAGATAATGGATATATTCCTTGTAAAAGATGTTTTTTGTTAGAAAAAGAGGGCAATGAAATTAAAAATCAAAATTACAGAATGAACAGAGCATAACAATTTTCACTTGCCTTGTTTATACTGAAAGGCAGATTAGTATTGTTTTATGAGAGAACTTTTGATTCTTTGAGTTTATGTTTTACGTACTTTAAATGAAAATGCATTAAATGAAATTAGTCTTTTCCAAATGTTTATTAGTTAGAGTTGATAATCTTCACTCTATCAGGATATTCATAAGCATACATCTTATCAATAAAATAAATAAATTATTTTGTTTATCCATGATTACACTTTGAATACTTTTTCCTTAATGGTGAGATATTGTATTATTCCTTACATATTATGGTTTATACGTTAATCTATTGATGAAACATTGATTAAGAGTTTTACTCCAAAATACTTTAAGAGAATCTTTTTTTTTTTATCTCTAATCTTCATCATTGTTCTTAGATAAATTATATTACAGAAAAGTTCTATTAACAGATTTCCAGAATAATAATAAATTTTTTGCAACTTCAAGGAACACTTGAAACCTTTGTGCTAGTGAAACAGATTCAATCTTTCATTTTCCATTACCAACAATATAAAATTGTTATCATTCTCAATAATAGTAAAGTCTTTCATGAAGATTATTGTCAATGGAAACCAGGTATAGTCTAAATCAAGCTTAGATCACTATCTATGTCAGCTTTTGCCTTTGGATAAATAGTTGTCATTGTTGTCTACATCAAAAACTGTAGTTTACGCATGGATAGAAGTAGATCTAAATCTTCAATTTAGATTTACACTTTGCTTCTGAAATTGGACTTAAATGTTTAACCAGCTGTCTGAACTGTGTTAGTTCTAAAAGATTTTTATAGGTGACAACATTGTAATTGTATGGAATAATATCTCAACAAATACAATGTTATAAAATATTAATGAGAATTTTTATAAAATATAATTACATTTTATAAATAATTGTAAATTAGAAGAAAAATAAAAAACAATAATTTCAGATATTTTTATTCTAATTTAGAATTTAAATATCAAATAGACATACACAAACTGCTGTAAATAATCAGGCTATAATTTGGAAATATTAATTTAAAAAATTCTTAATTAATATTTCCAAATTATATCCTGATTATTTATGGCAGTTGTGGATGTCTACTTGCTATACACTGGGTTTCAACTGGTGTTTATATTTGTATAAATATCAAATTCTTACTATATTCTAATTGTTCTTATTTTACATTCTATAATCCTAAACTATTAAGGTTGAGTGTTTCATCCATCACTTCCAACATACAAAGGTTATCAATTACGAAAAAAAATTTTTTATTAACTACATTTTGTTATTGCACATGCATTTTGGACTGATGAATTCTAATCAACAAATTCTATATTTAACTAAATTATAAATTTTCATTAATTAAATTATATTACAGGTATATTTAATATACCTGTAATATAACAGGTATATTAAATATTAAATAAAAATTGTTTTCTGTGAAACTCTGTATTGTCTGTTAAGCCAGTATAATAAGTCCTGATAATAGTGAATGCTTGTTTATAGACGAAAATTTATAATTTAGTAAGAAAAGGACATTGAGGCATTTTAATTAATCTATATTTAACTTTTTTATATACAAAGAATTGGCAATAATTTTATAACACATGATGTACATAATTTCTGATTTTGAAAATTAATACTGTCTATATTGTATAACACAAATTATCATATATGGATGAAAAAACACAAAATAAGTAATTTGTCACAAAAACATAAATATATGAATTATTTATTTTATAGTAATATTGGTAGACATTGACCTGCTTAAACATTCCTTTTAGTATCTAAATGTTTTGTTGGTGGAATTGTTATAATAAACTAAATTCTTTCATTGTTTAACTTCTAAAAAGACAATAGAACTATTCCTTCATTTCTTTAAATAAAATTATATAAATATTTTGAAATTTTGTTGATAAATAATTTAATATAAATTACTCAGCTAAAACATATTCTTATTATGGAATTTAATGCATGCCAACTGAATTAATTACATTTTACTCTTTCCTGACTTATTATGTATATAACTCAGCAATGTATTGAAAAATTGTGTCAAATTTGATTTTCTTGGGTTTTTGAAAATCTGAACATTTCCAGATTCCCTGAATCCAAAAAGGATAAATAGAAAAAAACAAACGGAAAAATTTCATAGGTGCATATGTTGGCATCTATTTCATTTAATATCTCAGGATCTTTACACAAAATCTTTAACTTATTTGTTCAATTAGGTTAGAATCAATCTTTTAATAATAATAAAAATGTTTAATACATTTTAATAATATTCCTTTTATTTTTATTAGTATTAATCCTTTTCCATACTATAGATTTTAATCATCTCTAAAACTTGTTTAATAACATTTGCAAATTTTTTGGTATAAAAATTATAAAAAAATTTTTCATTTTTTTTGTACAAATACCTTATTATTTTGTTTTGTAATACAAATGAAATTATTTAGCTCAAGTATCACAGTTTATTCAACTATTGTATCTTAATATTTATATGTAATCTTCAAATTTAAAAATGATAAATAAGCACATTTTTTAAAATAAAATTAATATAACTGATTCTATTAATAAAATATTAAACTTAAAAATAAAAAGTCTTTTTAAAGATGTTTTATTGAGTGTAAATGTGGTAAAATCTTTAAACTATGAAGAAATATCTTCATGAAATTCTTCTAGAAAGAACAAAGAAGTTTTTCCAATTTAATAGATCAGTCAGAAAATAAGTATCTGCAAATATCTATTACAACTAAATGTTCATTGAAATATTTAAAAATTTCCAAAAAACAATTTTTTGTAACAAATTTTGTAAGGAATTATCAGCTGTTGTTATTGTTATTTTATATGTTAATAATAGAATCCACAATTTTCCAACACCACTCCTTTATTAAAACAAATATTTTCAGCTACTTTTATGGCCTCCATCAACTTGTAATAAATATAAATTGAATATTTAAACCAATTGATCTAATAGCATTCCAAGAACATTTAGCATTTAAAATGTGAAATTTGAAAATTGTAGCTGAGGATACATTCAAATAAATATAACTTTTTATATAAATACATTAAAATTAAAATAAAATAAATAAATAAATACACCTATATTTTACAATACTGGAAATGAAATAATTAATAAACATAGATTATATTTTTTAATTTAAAGATTTCATCCTATGTTTAAGATGCATTATCAACTCATTAACTGATAATCAGTGGCAACAATACACACAATCAACCACTTAAACATAGGATGAAACCTTTAAATTATAAAATATAACTTACATTAAATTATAAAATATACATTTATTAATTAGTTATTTTGTTTCTGGTTTTGTAAATATAGATGTGTTTGTTTACTTTATTTTATTTTAATTTTAATTTTCCTGTATTTATATAAAAAATTTACATTTATTTGGATAAGTCCTCAGCTACAATTTTAAAATATGTAAATTTGTTCAATTTTTAAATTTCACATTTCAAATGCTAAACACTGCTAGAATGCCATTAGATATATTGGTGTAAACACTCAATCTGTATTCATTACAATCAGATGCAGGCCCTAAAAGTGGTTGAAAACATTTATTCTAATAAAGTAGTAGTACTGGAAACATGTGAAAGATATCTTTTATTATTGACTGATTCCAGATTTTAGGAGTGCTTTATCTTTTATGTTATTAGAGAAAATTTGAAGATACTAATAATAAAGATTAATAAATGGTTTATTGTCATCAATCTGTTTTCTTAAATTATTTACATAATATTTTTAGTGCAAAAGAATATCAAATACTGTAAAATATATTAAATAATCAATATTTTTAATTTTATATAATACTGATGTATTAATAGTGCTCTAATATAGAAAAATATACAAATTGTTTTTATACAGTTCTAAATCTTTATTTACCTTTCTTAAGATATTTCAAATTAAATATTTTTTGTCATATATTCTTCAATACTGTACATCTCATATATTCCATTTCCTCCTTTATGCACTAAAAATAAATATTTTAAAATATTCATGAACTAATTAAACTAGTTGTAACTTTAAGAAACAATAGCAATATCCTGACATAAAGCATTGCAAACTGTTTATTAAAATGAAATAATGAGGACATCAATAAAACAAGAAAGAATTACATATTTTTAAAATTTTTGTTTCATTTTTACATATTTGAAACGATAAATACAAATTTTATCATTATTTATCAATTTTAAAATTTATTTTAAAAATTAATCATGTTAACTTGACAAAACAATATAAGTTAGAAATCTGGAATAAAGATAAATGACATCAATGCAAAATTAATTCAAAAATATTCTCTCAAATAGTTTAATCTTTGATAAAAATTTAATTTTTTATATTATTTAAAGCTTGGTAATTGTTATAATAGAAAATTAAATCATGTTATATTTTTATATACTTGTATAAATTGATTTTATAAAAATAAAATTTTTATAAAATCAATTTATAAAATTTTGCTTTGTTTTTAATTAGATAAAAGCAAATAAATTTTGCTTTTATCTAATTAAAAACAAAATATTTACTTAAAAATATAAGTTAATAGCCCACTGTAGAATGTATTATTTGATATTTTTTATAAAGATATTTGCTTACAAATTTGAAAATTTTCATAATTTATCAAAATAAATTATATGACAATTAACCAAAATCTGTTAAAATTCAATAACATTGATATAACTACTGTATTTGATATATTTTCATGTAATTGTTATAATTTGCATGAAAACAAATGCCTTCCCCTCAGCTAATCCATTGTAAATGTTATGAATTATACTGAATCCATTTTAACATAGAATATTTCAAATTATCAGTTGTAAATAATAGTTTAAACTTTGATCATTGCATTTAATATGGTAATGTAAGCATTACCATATTAAACACTATAAATTTGAAGTTTAATGTCACTAAGATAATTTAATCAATGATATTAATTTTTCTTTATTGAATTCATTAAGGAAACTGAATTAATTACAGGTTTTACAAATTTAATGTGAAATCTAATGTAAATTTTATAAAAACAAATGACCACCAATTTTCAAAGCATATTTTAACAAATATGTTTTGAAAATTGTCTTTAAAAAAAGAACAATTTAACATTATCTTTTTAAGTTTTTGTATGATAATGTTAAAATCAAATTAGATTTTTTATTTCAAATCAAAAACTCTAATTTAATTTATAAGTGTAAGATTAAAAATCTCCCAAGCAATTTATGTATAAGCACATATTTATTAAATTCAATCTCAAGCATTGTCAAACTTAATTTTTCTATTGTTCATTGAAACTTGATATTAGATTTTTTATTTCAAATCAAAAACTCTAATTTAATTTATAAGTGTAAATAAGATTAAAAATCTCCCAAGCAATTTATGTATAAGCACATATTTATTAAATTCAATCTCAAGCATTGTCAAACTTAATTTTTCTATTGTTCATTGAAACTTGATATTAGATTTTTTATTTCAAATCAAAAACTCTAATTTAATTTATAAGTGTAAATAAGATTAAAAATCTCCCAAGCAATTTATGTATAAGCACATATTTATTAAATTCAATCTCAAGCATTGTCAAACTTAATTTTTCTATTGTTCATTGAAACTTGATAACAACATGTGAAATATATATTAAATCAGAGATTCAAATTTAATAAGCACAGATTGTCATTATTTTATTCTAGCTGTTCCTCTCTCTTTCAGGAATAAAAATGGGTTCAGATCAATCTAGAACACCGCAAACAACTTTAATTATTATTATTATATTTTGCAGTACTCATTTAATAGTCTTTAGCTTTGATTAAGAATAATTATCAGAATTATTCTTATGTATTAATTCAAATAAAACCTGTGATATTTGTAAACAGCTCAAATCATGTTAAAATATAAACATTCTTTTCCAGTTCATTTTCAACTTGTAAGCAAATATTTTTCAAAAAGGATGCTAAGCAATCATAAAAATCAGCAATATATCTTGTTTCCTCCCGAAAAGCTATCTTTATTCCTGTAAAATGGTAATAAAAATATATTTACTACTACCATTTATAAACTAATTTAAATTTGGGTGGGTACATGTAAATTCCTACAATACTTACATTAACACCTGCTACACAAACTCATATTCTTACTTAGATTTCTTTTGGAAGATGTAAGATCAGGAAATATAATTAATTTAAAATTTTGACATAAGTCGAATCGATTATATTTTTCAAGGACAAAGTAGCTACCACGATCCAAACATCGAGGGAAAACAACATCCCTCCATGTTTGTAAATAAATGACACGCGTATTACGTACCCATACATGGATAACGAACGTTGCCATAAAAAATTTCTCTGTAAATATAAAATTATTTTTTAAAAAATATAATAATAATAATAATGCGATTTTAATTTTTTATTCTTATCAGAATATTAATTTAGATACTTTTATCAAATTACCCAAGTTTACTTTTTATATAGATTTTAACATAATATTTTCATAGGAAATACAGTATTGAAGATTTTTATGTCCTAATAAAGTGTTCGGTTAAAATTTATAAAGGAATCGTGCATAAAAATCATATATTTTACTGATGTGCGAGCCGGTGATTTTCCGATATCACTGTGATCGGCGACAGTTACTTTTTAATAATGATGATTTTTTCCAGTCCGATCACGATTTCGCTGCTATGGCTTGCAATTGCATGGTCTCCATCCCCTTAATTGTAGCGTTCCAACAACCAGTGGTGATATTCAGCGGGTTCGCACAGGTTCGGCCGAACCCGTTGTTAACATTTTCAAAGTTTTCCGAACCCGTTGTTAAACACACGTAACATTTCTCGGTGGTTTTGTTTCTTTTAAAAAATATATTAAAAAATACGTATTATACTCTGTAACACTACTAAACTAGAGCCTTATACCCCGTTCGCCATG